CCAACTCGTCTAAGATAATACCTTCCTTGCCGTTAATCTCCCGCCATGCGCAGGATCATTCAAGCTATATGGGCATGGCCCTCTCGGAGACCAGCTATGGGGGTTTCGTCATCAATACATACACATAATCGCTTGTCAAGATACCCTGCCTCAGATCTCGGAAGCAAGATCGCTTGGTTGAATGATTGCCGGTACGGAAGAGCCCGTAGGTAGTACATGATGCAGGAACAATATTAGTTTAACTCACCTACAACTTGCCATTGACCCTATGGATGTGAGACTGGATTACTTGCAGAGGATATGAGTACCATGTATGACGGTACAACAAGGTATATGGATGTTGAGAAACCCGTGTTCCTACCTGTGGATCCGCTCTGGTCTTGTACACTTCTATCCCAGTGCCAAAGCTGCAATCGCCAAGTGCGGTCAATGATACTTCTGGCTCATCCATTACATCTGGTAGATCTGGTAGAATGTTGAAACCACCAGGAAATCTCTCGGTCCCTTCGGGTGGCTCTTTTCACGTGCCTTTGGTTGTACGGATAACGGCAATCGATCAGCAAACAAGCGCGTGGACGACCCTTGATCGGCTCAGCCTAGTATGCACAGCTATGCGACTACATCTTAGTCTCGGAGCTTTTATCTGAATTAACGGCGACCAGGGTCGAGCGTTGGTGCAGATAAGCACGATACTCGGACCAGATACTTTGCAGTAGCGACATCAAACCGCAGCAGCCTGGGCCCTAACTGTACATAGGTGTTTCTTTTTGATTTTGGCGTCAATTGGTCGGCGATATCAAGTTATTTTTCTCTAGTCTGACTAGAGCCAAGAACTTGACAAGATGTTTATTGATGCTCGTTTGTTCTTTGGACGTGTAGCGCTGACTGTGTAACGGAAATAGACACCTTACAACTAACTGTTACGTCAACGGGCGTGTGTCTGGACCCTACTCCGCCTTCGACAGCAACACGGTGAGCATGACGCAAGTTGGTGTCTTGCATCTGGTGGAGTGATATGAGCCACGGCGAGCTGAGCATGGAGCTTTGCTGTAGCCTGCAAGTAAGCAGACACACATTGCCTCTCCAATATTGTGGCGCACTTCGCTGTCATGCCCGTACCCACCAAGGCATTTCGGTACAGCAATACCAGATCTTAGGAAATGCTGTTGAGCGTTTCTTTTCTGCAAAGTCGTTCTGCATGGCGCGAGTAATGTTGTGAGCAAACGCCCGTGAAGCCTCACCGGTAAGGTGGCGTCGCAAAGGGTCTTACAGCCCTGCGACTCTCCACTATTACTCCAATCTGCATGTATCGCAAAAGCTACTCGAGTCACGATTGTGACACTCTGTATTAACAAAATCTTTCCGGTGGGATGCCAACATCCCTCTCCAAGCCACGCTGGAAAGCACGCAGCCTTTCGACTCAGGCGCTCCAAAGTGGCAACATGTAAGCATTGCAAGCTGTACCGAAAAATCGAGGCCTCAATTCAGCTGTACGCTTGTACCTAGTTAAGGCAGCCGGTGCATTTTGATGCATATCAATAGTCTTTGTTTGGGACGAAACGTCATGGAAACAGTGGAAACAATTCCAATCAGGCGACTACATGCGAGTGAATATACCAAATTGGGCCTAAGACTGACAGCGATGCGTTCCCAGAGGCCAGGGTTACGAGATGGTGATGTTGTTGTCGGAACAGAGGTTCGGGACCCCTCTCAGAAGTCCGAGACGCTCGCCTGATGCGGCCTAGCGCTTATCACATTAGTACTCACCATCACGACTCGCTTGTCTTTCTTGAGATCCTTCTACTCGCTTGCTCGACTATCAAGCTTTCCAAGCCTCGGAGACGGTTCTCAACTCCATGGAGAGCCCGGTTCCGGGCCCTGGCCCGCGTGCTATGCATAGTATACCATCTACGCCTTGCATCGACATGTCAAACTAGTCTTCTGAGACTCCGCTTCATGCACAGCCAGGGCACCACTACCCCCTGCAGCCGCTCCACAGCCTGCTGAAGTGGCTTTCCCAAAGTACACAGCTCGGCCATGCCTGCAGCTCTGTCGACCGTCTAGTCTGTCGTCCTCGGTCGAGGTTTGGAGCCAGCATCGGTATGTCTAGCTGCATTCGGTCGTGTAACGCAAGTAATACCGACATTCAAACCTCCTCAACCACTTAAAATTCTCCGTTTTTCTGCTTAGGGCTGATGTGCAGCTGTCTCTCGCGCTCACCTTTCCGGGCAAGTGGTCATAATCAGCATCTATACCGTTCATGTGCCGCACCCCTTCGTGATGGCGATCTTGGTATCGGCCACAAGCCGCGGCTACACTTTGATATGGAGGTATCATATCAATTACTAGTGGTGGGAACACTTCACCACTAGTCACCCGTGCCGTTTAGGCCTATTGTTCGACCCACTAATGAATCAGGGCCAGTCTGTCATGCTTTGGTTTATATTACTTGTACCACCCATTCTCTGGCAGGCCAGCCAGCCTTCGCTTTTCTTTGTACATCAGAATCGTGGTCGGAGCTGCATCTGTTGGCCCTACTTTTGGAGGGTCCGGTAGCTTTCCTTTGCGATTACGTCTTCTTCTTGAGCTTTCATTACTACATCATGGTCTCTTCAATTTCGAGGGTGATTACCGCCCTTGGGCTTCTTTTACCTACTGTCACTTCATCTGTCGTACCTCATAAAAGCCTCGCTCCCAGAACACCAGAGGTTCCTTGGAAGAACACTGGTCTCTTCAGTGGACACAGAAAACGACAAGGATATGAGACTGCCTGTAATCATGGTCCAGAATCAAGAGGATGTTGGATTGACGACTTCGACATCGACACCGACATGGATGTTGAATGGCCGGACACTGGAAAAACAGTCAAGTATCATCTGACCATCACCAATACCACTGGAGCTCCAGACGGGTTTGAGAGACCGATGTTCTTGATCAATGGTCAATACCCGGGACCAGTAAGTGTCATGTTAAAACGCTAATATCTCTTTTCTAATGAATCATAGACTATTACTGCCGACTGGGGAGACAATCTAGAGATTACAGTTACCAATGGCCTTGAGAACAACGGCACGGGTATTCACTGGCACGGTCTGAGGCAACTCGGGACAAATGAACAAGATGGCGTGAATGGCATCACTGAATGCCCAATCGCTCCCGGTGACTCCAAGGTCTACAGATTCAAAGCAACTCAATATGGCACTACCGTAAGTATCACGTACTGTGTGTGACATGTTTTCGGAAGACGGCTAACCGCCACAGTGGTATCACTCGCACTACTCAGTGCAGTATGGTGACGGCATCGTGGGTCCTCTGATCATCAAAGGACCCTCAACGGCGAACTATGATATTGATCTTGGCGCTTTCCCAATGACTGATTGGTTTCACGCAACCACTTTCACCGTCAACGCTGCAGCCGTTCATGCAAGTGGTCCTCCAACTGCCGACAACGTCCTTGTCAATGGCTCCATGACCTCGTCTTTTGGCGGCAAGTACGCCGAGACGATCCTAACCCCAGGAAAATCTCACTTGCTGCGTTTGATGAACGTTGGTATCAACAACTACCTTCATGTCGGTCTCGATGGGCATCAGTTCCAGGTCATTTCAGCTGATTTCACGCCCATCGAACCCTTCTATACGGATAGCCTGGTCCTTGCAGTCGGTAAGTTGAACCGAAGTTGTGTCGACATGCAAGTCCGTTTTGTTTAGCACAACATCGTGCTGTGTGACGACACCCCGGCCACGAGAATGTAGTCGGAATGGCCACTGTTGATGCATGTTTCACTAACAATGTCTCCAGGTCAACGGTATGAAGTCATCATAAACGCAACTGAAGCTGTGGACAACTATTGGCTACGTGTTGGTACTGGCGGTAGATGCGACGGTCCCAATGCCAATGCGGCAAATATCAGGAGTATCTTCCGATATGCCGGTGCTCCAACTGAAGAGCCAAGCACGACTGGTTCGCTTCCATCGGGCTGCTACGATGAGGATGTTGTACCCTATGCCAAGACGACTGTTCCTCAGGAGATGCCCGAACAGTTGAGCGTGGGCTTCAACCCTAACTGGACTAGTGACGTGACCCAAAATCAGGGTCTAGTCCAATGGCTCGTCAATGGCAATCCCATGGGAGTTGATCTTGAAGTCCCTACTCTGCAGTCGGTGTTGGATGGCAATGTTACCTACGGAAACAACCGCCACGTGTTTGCAGTCGACGAGGAACACCAAGTAAGTTGTCCCGTGTACTTATTGTTTATGGTTGTTAACAAAAGTTTCAGTGGCAATACTGGGTCATCCAACAAAACAGCTCCAACCCACCACTTCCTCACCCCATTCACCTCCACGGCCACGATTTCTACGTCCTTGCGCAGGTCGGGAACGCAGTCTGGAACGGAGACATTTCGACCCTGAAGACGGACAACCCCATCCGTCGGGACACGGCTGATCTTCCCGCTGGAGGCTACCTGGTCCTTGCATTCGAGTCCGATAACCCTGGTGCATGGCTCATGCACTGCCACATCCCCTTCCACGTTGCCGCTGGCCTCGGCGTCCAATTCCTCGAGCGCGAATCAGAGATTAAGGCCCAAGATGGATACGCAGAGATGCACCGAACGTGTGCTAACTGGCGGTCGTGGCGCTACAAGTACCATCCTAATGGCATCTTGTTCCCCGGTGACTCTGGTCTGCGTCGTCGCTGGTAAACAAAAAAAACGCAACACAAAACAGTTCAACCTTCTTTTGCACATTTTTTTCTCTCTCGCCTAGGTGGCTAGTTGTTTTTTATTTCTCAAATTTGTACCGAGGGATCTTTTCCCGAGGGTTGCATTCGATATCCCCTTTGTTCTTTTGTCCTTTTTATTGGGGGGTGTTCGTGTCGTCGCTGTCTTTACTTGCATTATCGTCTTTACGCTTGGCCAGTAATGATAATGCTTTGAATGAATAGATGATACTCTTCTCTCCACCATTATCCCACATAAACACCGTGTCACCTTGGCCATTGTTCACTGACGTCGCTCGACTGCACCGTCATTAGCTTCCCCGTCCCGTCCCGCATCACACCAGTCGTCGTCACCCCTTTTTTTGCTTTTTTGCTTTCGTCGCAGGTACACCCGCCGTCCTGCTCGATACCGATACCATATGCACGCGTGCAGCTGGACAAACCATGGTTCAACGTACGCACATGCTAACTTAGCTCCCCGCACTGCTACTGCTGCACACGTGTCTGCTTTGCTTTTTTTCCAGGTCCGTCCCAACCAAGAGACAGATACTGTGCAGCAATGAACCCATTTTTTTTTTACAGCTGATGTCGTCATTTGTCATACGAGCAGGGTGGTGGTGGTGTGATATCGGGCGCTGAGCGGGCGGGTCGTCCATCAAGGACTCAAGCAGAGGATTTTAGCTAAAGGGGTTATGGAAAGGATGAGTCAGTTCATGTAAGGGAAACGGCGATGTAAAAAGGCGTGTTTTGTGCATCCTGTCATACCCAGCTTCTCATAGTATGTAAATTACTTGATGAAATTCCTTCGCAGACCATGCCAAGAGTGCCGCTAATAACTAAATCGACTCTACTCATCTCGCAATGTGTACAAAAAGGTGCCATATTATGAGCGGGACCAGGAAACCTATAAACATATACGAAAGAAAGTATACCTATCACCACCTCACGAAGCTGATGCTGAGCCTTCAGCGTGTTGTTCCTCAGCCCTCTCCTTGCCCTTTGAACTGCTGCTTGGAGTGGCCTCACCGTCCGTCTCAACCTTAGCTTCACTAGCTTTCTCTTCAGCCTGTTGTTGCTGCTGTGCCCGGGCATCTTCTTCTCGCTTTCTCGCTTCCTCCTCCTGTCTCTCTCGCTCTTCTCGTGCTGCCACCCTCGCCAGTCTCTCTCTTTCTTCCTGCGCGTGAACCATTCTCTCGCCCACACCGGGGAATAGACTAGCCACAAAGAGAGTGAAAGCGCGCTCGACTCCACGCAAGCTTTCGCGTACCCAGGCGAACCTTTGCTCTTGCCTTTGTTGTAGTATTCGCCTTGCTGCTTCCTCGGGCGATATGTTACCTCGTGGGCGCTGGTTGATAGGATGTGCAGCACGTTCGGCCATAGCGCCAACGGGAAGAAGAGCCTCAAAGTGACGGCGCACATAGTTGATCTGATCCTCAAACATGCCAATCTGTGCCAGATAGACGATACCAGCAACAGCGCCTAGCATTACAGGTCTGTAAATACCACCGCCTCCAGCGAAGACGTAGACAAAGACAGCGAGCTTGAAGATCAGCCATAAGTGTCCTGCGATGTTAGCCAGCCGATCATTTTCTTCTGGCTGCAGTCCATCCTGATTATCATTCTGATTCTGGTTCTGGTTCTGATTTTGATGCTGTCCTCGGTCCTGACCTTGAGCCTGTCCAACAGCCATTGGCTGAGCTATTGGTGTTGGCTGCATATTAGCTAGCTGATTATGCAGCTGGTTTGTCCCCTGTGCCATTTGTTGTCCAAGACCAGCAATGAGTTGTCTGTTCTGTGCAAATTGACTCGAGAAGGTCTGGAATGGTAGAGTGGGCACCATCGGGGCCGTGGTGTATGTGCCTTGCTGATCGAAGAGAACTCCGACCGGACCCTGGGGACTTGACAAAAGAAACAGCTCTGCAGGTGCATCTGTCGGTACAGTCTGTGCCGCATCTCCTGCTCGGGCCTGGGATGTAGTTGATGCTGCCGCAGCGATGATGGGCGCCCCTGGTGCTGTATCTGAAGTAGACCTGACCGTTTCACCCTCTTGACGATCGAGCACAATACTCAGTTCAGCAGCATCAACCCTTAGCTCAGTAGCTGAGCGCCTCAGTGCCGTCACTTCAGGCTCCGTAGGAAGCAACGCCAGAGCCCTGTCAACAACATCTAGATTTTGGTTGACTGTGTTCAGGTGCTGACGTAGCCGTTCGATTCGCCATGCAGGGATACTCAACGAGGAAGGTAGATCGGAGGTGAGGAGCCCTCCACTCTGTGTATCAGAGGCACCAGGCAGTTGCAACAATGCTCGAACGTTATCAATCTCTCGTTTTGTCTCTAAGAAGATCCTGTGAACACGAGGCAATAACCGTTGATTCTCGCTAGAGAGTGGCGGACGACCGAAGGCTAGTGCATGCGGAACAGGGAAAGTGACGACGGTCGGCGGGAGTCGCGCAGCTATGTTGAGTGGGTTGAAGGTCGTAACTGTCCATCGTGCTCCATTAGGCGCAATACCCTCTCGCCTGATCGCCTGGTCGCCGTTCCCAGGAAGGTTCGATGGCCCTGGAGGAATTGGTGTATGCGTCCTGTCTCCCGTTGCCTGTGTGCCTTGATCTGGTTGCTCGCTAGTTCGATCTGAAGGCTGTTCATCACCCATTGCTCGAGCAAATGGTTGATGGAGTTGTGCGGGCAATGGTATGGGAATGGGGTTCACTTGTCCCGGAAGGCGATGAGGGGGGAGGTGCGGCTGGGCCATCTGAGGTTGTGAAGCCGGTCGTGTCTGTGGTATAGCCCGAAATGGATTCGTCTGCAGAGGGCTCGCGGCTGGGCCATCTGGAACTGCAGAGCGGAAGAGGTTCGGTGGGACAGAAGACGATTGCGGGACAGGTGAAGATGTAGTTGGAGGCAGCTCTCGTATGACGAGGTGAAGGCTTTGGTCCTTGTTCTCACGTAGCTATGATTCTGATTAGCAAGCACTTACTTGGCTGTAGTAGCAACATACATTGTCGGCGCCAAACACGGTAGTCAGAGTGTCTGCATCATTCGCTACCACTCGGCCTCTGTATATGAGGCGCATGCGCTCGGGAGCAGGCTTGGAGGGCACAGCATCGTGTATGCGACTGCGGAGCTCTTTGACCGTGATGGAAGCGGGGAGGCCCGCGAGGGTGATGCCGCCCTCTAGTTCGGCTGAAGGCGAAAGGACCTTGAGGTTGATTGTCTGCTCTGCGTCCGCCATGCCGTCCATGTGTAGCAGCGACTACGGTGAGAGCGATAGAAATTTCTCGGTTTGGGAGTGGTCGACGTGTCTGTATACGTTGCGTTTTAGAGTAAAGCTCCGGATTCGCCGTCAACCACAACGTCAGTTGCCATGTGCAGTGAAGAAGAGTTTATCAGGCTGCCCTGCCGAAGCCCTGGGTATTACAGATGCGACTTTCCACCGCCTACCCTTGTATGTCCAGGGCGTCTTCACGACATGCGCATGTGATGCGACAGTAAGTGTTGGATGCTCGTGGAAACACCTCCGAGCCCACGACCGCAACGGCGCTAATCCCTCCCCAGTGGGTACGTCATGGGTTAGCCGCTCAAGTGGATTTTCCCACACCACGCGACGCCTTCGCCGTCATCTATCCGCCTTGCCATTGCGAATCCCCTCTTCTTGACGTGGCCGAGAAAGCAACAGTAGAAATCGCCAATGCATGCATCGTAAACATGGCGACTCCCTGTTCGCGCCAGCTCATGCGAGCTTCCATTCGTCCGCGATTCAATATACCCGTACAACCACATGCGCGCCTCTCTGCCCCATCTCGCGCCTTCACTTCGACCCGGGCGTCATATAGCGAACAGAATTTCCACAGGAAGGAATCTTTTAGGTCGCGGCTCAATTCGGCGCTCAAAAATACCAAAATCAAGTGGGAGCCAATACCAATTGCACTCGGCATTGGCTTCCTAGGTGCATTCCAGCTATATCGCATACAACGCAGAGAAAAGCATACAGAAATCGAGAGAAGGGATGCGGAGGGCAACTTGGTGGACCAGCAAGGTCGCCCGAAAAAGCGCGAGAGAATAAGACCGAGCGGACCATGGACCGTTCAGGTCATGTCCACCCTTCCTCTCAAGGCATTGTCGCGACTGTGGGGTCGCTTCAATGAGATCGACATACCTTACTATCTTCGTGTACCTGGATTCAAGCTATACTCTTGGATATTTGGTGTCAAGCAAGTCACTCCCATGATCATCATCGGTCCTGTGTCTAACTTTTTCCTAGTCTCTCCGAAGTCTCAGAACCAGATCTGCACGTATACCCCAACCTTGCCGCCTTTTTCTACCGCACTCTCAAACCTGGAGTACGTCCTCTAGACCCCAACCCCAACGCAGTTCTCTCTCCCGCAGACGGCAAAATTATTCAATTTGGCACCATCGAGCACGGCGAAGTCGAGCAAGTCAAGGGTGTGACATATAGCTTGGACGCTCTGCTAGGATCTACAAGGCCCAGTACACCAGAGCAAAATGTGGCAAATTCCCAAGTTCGTGCTAGTGAGCATGAGAAGACACCACAAGACGAAGAGGACACTGTGCGCGCGGATGAGGAATTCGCAAATGTGAACGGCATCTCATACACTCTACCAAACCTTTTCTCCGGACCATGGCCAAAGGATGGGAAGCCTGCTGAAATGCCGACGGATCAGTCGGTTCCGTCAAAGCCATCGTCAGAAGCCGAAGTACGTGCCGACCTTGCTTTGAGTGAATCACAGCGCCCATGGTGGGCGCCTGCCTCATTGAAGACGCCTACAGTTCTCTACTACTGTGTTGTATACCTTGCGCCAGGTGACTACCACAGGTTTCACTCACCTGTATCATGGGTTGTCGAGTCGCGTCGTCACTTTGCTGGCGAACTCTACAGCGTATCGCCCTACCTACAACGCACTATGCCCGGTCTCTTTACTTTGAACGAACGTGTAGTCCTTCTAGGAAGATGGCGATGGGGTTTCTTTTCCTACACTCCTGTCGGCGCAACTAACGTTGGTTCCATTAAAATCAACTTTGACCGCGAACTACGCACAAACAGTTTGACGACCGACACTGCGGCGGACCGTGCTGCGGAAGAAGCTGCTGCCCGTGGTGAGCCATATTCTGGATTTGCCGAAGCTTCCTACACCAGCGCAAGCCGTGTCTTGGGAGGGTACGCACTCAAGCGCGGCGAGGAAATGGGTGGCTTCCAGTTGGGCAGCACGATTGTCTTGGTCTTTGAAGCGCCGAAAGGTGTCCGACCCAGTCTGGACGAAGGCTTCAGTGGTACACGCGGCGAGAGAAAAGGCGGGTTTCACTGGAATATTGAACAAGGGAAAAAAGTCAAGGTTGGCGAGGCGTTGGGTTATGTTGAAGAAGTTCAGTAATATGTACATCAACCTCTTAACTTACGAAATCATGTTTACTCCACACAGGAAATGATACCATGTTTGACACTGGACCTTTTCTTTCTTGATCCTGATAATGTAGTGAGAGTGCAAGGCTGACTAGCAAGCGCTGCGCGATGTCACATTGTTGCGGCGTTCCTTACCCAACGCCGCAATGCTGCATGTGGTTGGGGTTTTTTTCGAGACAACAATCTGAAGGAAGCGTGCATAACCGCTCTGACATACACATGCATTCCTCTTGAAAACCCCACAAGCATCTTTTTTTAGTCATTAAAAACCACCAATGCAATCGTGAAGCCCAGATAAAATCTAGTAGTCAGAGTGATGAAGTAGGGTGAGCATATATCTCATACCAAATCCATCACTGAAGGCTATGTGAGAAGACGATGGGGTAATACCGCAGATGCCTGGCAAATGGAATAAAGCTAGCACACGTCAGGTGGCCGAAAATAGAGTAGACTGGGGCCTGACTGTGGAGCAGCAGGGGGGAGATGTGAGCCAGAAGCATGTCATGGAGGGCATAAAATCGAGGTAAAGATCCGATTGGCGCTGTGCTTACCATACTTGCTACATACATGGCGCGCGATACATGATGTTGCGGCAAATGGTAATAGTAAGGTATGGTCAAACCAGCCCCTCCGCCTTGCGACGTCAAGCTTTCGAGATGCTTTTTGCTTACTTTCTGCAGAAGACGGCAGCTGTTTCTTTTTAGTTGACTCAGGCTGGCGGCCTGATCGTGGACGCCTGGTATACTAAGGGCCGGTTTGTTGATTACGCGGCGTTAGGAACAGCCGGGCGTCGAGCTGATTCTGCGTGTCAAAGGACCGGCATGGGCCGAGGCTAAGGTATGTGAGATGGGATTTTGGAAAGTCAAGTTTGAGTAATGTGCTTGCTTTGTTTGACTGTTAGATATTGTGGGGTTAATCAGATTTGGTGGGGATGAATATGGGCAAAGCTAAGGAGAAGTACTTCTCTCGTAGAGACATAGCATGTGTATGCTCTGTGCCCTTGGTAATAAGACAGCAGGCTGAGATGGAGTGCAAGGCTGGGTATCTCTTCGAGGCAGAATATCCACTGGGCCCGTTCATATCTACATACATGAACTGTTCCCCCACTTGGCGTGCTTGTCGTGCGTTGCATCCGCCATGACAAATGATGATACTACAGCATTCAACTAGTACACTTTGAAAGCGACTAAAAGGCGTAGCACAGTAACATGCCTGTGGTAGACTACCAAAGCAGCATCGCGGGACGTCAGCACTGCCACCGCCGCCATATCAGCATCTCCTTGTGCAGTTAGCTGCACCGGGATTGGGACTCGCGCCTGCATCTGGTTTCATTTGCTCGTCAGCCCTGCACGTGCGGGCAGGGCTGGGGCTGATGGCGGAAGACGCGCATCTATGTAGCCCATCCCATCCTTTTCAAGACAGCTGTCCAACCGCGCGCAATGCTGTCTCGTTCGGGTGCAATCATCGCCTAGGTTAACCGTTGCTCAGGCTTGGTTTATTATTAGCTGGGCGCATCACCCTCCGCCCCGCCATCATCAACCTACTTCGCGGCGGAGCTGGGAGCTGTCATCATTGCAATGCCTAACTTTCCATGGACAAAGTCGAACCGGTCGCACCACTCTGTCGATACCGCCGTAAGGGACCAACCGTCGCCTGTGCCATCTGCAAAGGAAGCCAGCGACCAAGCCGCAGCAGCAGCAGCCCAGCGATACCAGGCCTCCGACGCCCATCAACCGCCTATCCATAGCCAGCAGCCTTCTCTACAACCACCGACCTCTTCCGGAAGTAGCCAGGGCCAGTACAGCGACTACCACTCACTGCGAAATGCAACTCACAGACTGAGTGCACATCTCTCCTTAGGCCAGCCATCGCAGAACTGCCAGCAACAGCCTAGCCCGCCGCCTACATCTCAGGCAGGCCACGAATCGCCAAACCACCTCCCCTATCAGCAGCCTCATTCTCCTCCTCCTGCATACAGTAGCCCGGAAAATAAGAAGCAGTCGCTGCGCAGTCGCATTGCAGCTGGCGTTAGAGGACACAAGGACGAGGAGCTCAAGGCTCAGAAGAACGGTCTAAGCAGGCGACAGTCAGTTCGGAAAAGCGACCCTCGGGCGCACGAGTATCACACACAGGCAGAGAGCCGCCCGCCGCATTGGCATCAACACCAGGGATCCTCTTCCCACTTGCCCACGTCGCGAGAGCAGGACGAGGACAACCTTGATCCGTTCCTCCAGCAGGAAAGCGACGATTCCCCTCAAGTGCCTCCTAAGGATACCAAGTATCAACAAAACGTGCAACACACTCAGCCGTTTGGTGGGCAGTTGCACCAGGAACCCTACGTTCGGCCCCCACTTGGCAGGGTGAGCACAGAGGGCAGCTATTCGACCCAAGGCGGGGTAGATCAGTACGGCCCAGAGCAACACCAAGGTCAAGGCCCACAGCAGCAGCAACAGCAACAACAATCAACGCAGCAACAGCAAGTTCACCGCAAGCAGCCGCAGCACAGCTACCAGCCCACTAATCAGGGTTCAACGGGACCAGGCAACTTTCAGTCGTACATTCCACAAAACGCGCCAAGCTCTTTATCCCAGACCTCTCAGCCGCATGGGCAAGGGGCTTCGGTACAAGACATTCAACAGAACTATTACCAGTACCAGCAACAGCAACAGCAACAACAACAACAACAACAACAGCAACAGCCTCCGCCAGCGCATAATCAATCGTCGCTAGAGAATTCACCACAGAGCCTGCATCATCCGCAGCAGCAGCAGCAGCCTCACTTTGCATCTCAGCTTCAGCCCCAATCTGACCCGCGCCAGCCTCAGACTGCTCTGCCAATCGCGCAACTGCAGACTGAACTGCACCACCCACAAGCCATACGGCAGCACCATCCTCAGGCTGTACAACAGTCAATCGAGCAACAGCAGTCCCAACAGCGCCGACCCCCCTCGTCCCATCAGCTTGCCCCGCCGTCGCCTCTTCAGCCCACTCCCTACCAACACAACGAACCGCAGCAGGGAAAGCACCCTCTGTCTTCGGAGCTACATTCACTGAACAGCGCATCGAGCCAGCAAGGGCAGGAGGGCATGACACCAAGTGCTCAGGGCAATAGCAGAAACACTGTGAGGAAAGTGAACGAGAGTAGCCAGTCACAACCAGGAGCACCGTCGCAAGAGTCATCTCAGCTCCAGCCCCCGTCCGCTCAAGGCCAGGCTTTCGGCCAGCCGCCTGTGTCTCCGGGCCTTGCAACGTTCGACGCCAACGTCGTACCCACAGCCTCCCAAGGACAACCATATCGAGCTGACAAGCAAGGTCAACAAGGTTCAGAAATGGGGCGGGCGACACCTCCACCACGCGCATCTGCGTCCGAAATGACCGACGAGGAGATTGAAAAGATGATAAAGGATCACGATGTTTTACGTAAGTACAATATTCCAAGAGAGAGACCATTGCGTTTGACAGGCTGTAGGTGAAAAATATCAAAAGGTCAAAAGATACTTTTTCGAACAACAAACCCAAGTCCACCAACTGCAGAACACTCTTGCAAACCAGCGTTTATCTGTTTCACGCACATCATGGGACGATAGTGAATATTCAACTCGCTTTAATCGCTTGGACGGGTTAATAGCACAACTGTCCTTTTCCATTCGCAAGGACTGGAGATCAATACCACAGTGGCTGCATCCAGTAGTCAACAAGACAGCTGTGGAAACTGGCAAGCAGGAGATGACTGCAGTGGGTCGTGCGTTCATCTCTCAATGGCTAGTGGAGAACATATTCGATAAATACTTTCATCCGGATCTTGAGCCAGCTTTTTCCACACAATTACAGTCGATTGTGTCGAACATCCGGAAGTTCTCACCTCCTTGCCATAGTGCAGAAGATGAAGAGTCGCTTGCTGCGAAGATCGTCAACTGGCGGCTTGCCACACTGGAAGGTCTTGCGGATACCCTGAAAGCACCACAGGCGACTACATATCGAGAGAAGCTGACTGAAACGCTCAATGAGAAATTGATCGCATCTCTTCAGATTCACCTGAATGATCCTGCACCTCCAGACTTGAATGGAGGTGTTCCGATGATCATTGAGCTTGCTATCAGTATAGCCCAACACTTGCCATTAGAAAGCCGAGAAGTACAAATTGAGTACTTTCCGCCAGGCCATGGCATCGTGAGCGACTTGATGAAGCTGGAATCAGGCATACCCGCTTTAACAGCTCCCATAGTCGAGCTGGATGATGCTGACAGAATTTCTATCAGAAGCATGGCATCGAAGCCTGATGATGGCGTCTCCATCGCAGAGCAAGATCAAAATCAACCGCAAGTTGGCCAGACTTCAAAAGAAGACAAGAAACGCAGCATGTTTGGGTTCGCCACGTCCAAGAAGACGGGAGTCACCCCTGCTTCCCTCGGCAAGCGAGAATCTTCTCTCGGTCAAGGAGGTAGCCAGCAGAGTCTGACACAGAACGCACCAGGCAGCTCGACTGGTACAAAAGACGAGTCTGCACCACCTCGCGTACGCTTGGCTGTCGGACTCGCAGTGCAAATTCGCGGCAAGACAGTTTTGACCAAGGCTCCTGTGTACAGCACATGAGCTTTCTAGAGGTATCTACAATGAAGATGACGGTTGATGTATGTTCCGAGTTCAGTGATTTGGCAAGCAAGCGTTTGGGCATTTTCTTCACCACTTCTTTATATACAATTATTCTTTTTGCACGGCCGTGCTTTTAGATTGGATATGCTTTCTCTTGAAGGCTATATTCAGTTCATTTCATGCCTGTCCATATGTACCTTTTTTTTGCTGTACTTTGATATGCATACAAACACCCCCGTTGTTGTTGTGTTTGGGTGTGGTAGGAATCAAGTCTTTGGAACTGTGAAGCACGATATCTTTGACTTGGATTACAATGCCTCTGAATGCATATGTCCAATCAGATGAGCTGTTTTAACTACGAGGCATGTATCATCGAAGCAAGCAAATCCAAAGGCCAGGCGGACAGCGTTCACGCTAGTTGCGGGCAATTCGAACGCTCATTGGCTGAAGGTCCGTCGCTCCCTTTTGTTTATCGGACACAAACACCACCATGACAAAGCCACTTGAGACGACCGCCAGTGTCCAGCGCAATGGAGAATATGGAGGTATCTCAGCAGACTAAATGTATGTCTCAAAAACTTAATGTCTTTCGCAGCAAGCACTGATCCGCACCAGCCACAATATTGTCTGTTCCCTCGCCGACCGCGACACATACTGCCTGTGTTAACGGCGCACGTTTGCAAATCCGATGCCTCAACACCTTTGAGGTGATCCGTAATATCGCCCTTCCATCCAGCCATGATTTGCGCTCGTCGAAAATTACCTGGTCACCACCGGCCATCCCGCTCTTGACCTCATCGACATGCACATCCTCACCCACCACCACACCTCCCCGTCGCTCATCACGGACACCACGTCCCTGCTCGAACCGCGTCCTCATATCCGACGACGACACAACGCGCGTTTACGATCTCCGCGACGAGAAATGGAATGCTGTAATCAGCAATGGCTCGGGTGGCATGGGCAAGAACGTCCATGTTGAGTTTGGAGGGACAGAGGACGAAGTGCTTGTCTGGACCGACTTTACCGCTTGTATTAAGATCTGGTGCTTGAAGACGGGTAGGGTAGTGGAGATACGTGATCCGAAGTTTCCTGGTAAAGATGGCAAAGGCTGGGGCTACCGACCTGCTGACGATACTGGATTGAGGAACGGAAGGGGACAAGGGCGTGTTTTGGCATTGTTATGTCGTGGATCAGGGACCGATATCTTATTACTTCTTGCACCACAGACGTATAAGCTTCTGAGCCGAGTCGAACTCCCTACTACAGACGCCGCTGGTCTGAGATGGAGTCGCGACGGGCGCTGGCTAGCCATCTGGGACGCTGCGTCTGCGGGCTACAAGCTCTGCATATACACGGCCGACGGGCATTTGTACCGCACCATAATCCGCGAAGCATCCGAGGACGTCAGCGAATGGGATGTAGAAGGCCTAGGCATCAAGAGCCTGGAATGGGTCCCCGGACACGAACGTCTCGCAGTTGGCGGCTGGGACCGTCGTGTTCGCATCCTTTCTACACGCACATTCGCACCCATCCTATTCCTCGACCACACACCCGTCATCGACGTACCCAGCGCACCCGTATATACAGAGCAAGTCGACAACCTGGGCACCCGCAGTTTCACACTCACACCGCAACCCGCCACACCCCCCAAAGCCGCTTTAGAAAAGAACGAAAACGCGCTCCTAAAACAGGGCATCGGCATGCTCAGCTTCAACACAGAAGGCACAATGTGCGCAAGCAGAGACGACAGCACCCCCTGCACAGTCTGGATCTGGGACTTGCGCAGTCTACGTCCCCGCTCAATCCTCATCATGTACGCGTCTGTGAAAGCGCTGCTCTGGCACCCTAGCGACCCCAATCGTCTCCTTATCCAGACGGCGCACGACGAACCCGTAGTGTACTTGTACACTGCCTCTCAGCGCTCCCACCCGACGTCGTCTTCATCGGCGAATTCATCCGCGACTACGCAACAGCCTCCTGCCATCCTCTCGTTATCCCCTCACATTGCTAAACCCACTGTCGCGACCCCAGCGCGTTGGACGATATCCTGGCTCTGCGGCCCTGACGCTGGTAATAAGAAACCTTGTTTCGCGCTCGCGCATACCCAGGCCTCCGTTGTCGTGTGGCCCGAGGGCAAAGACCAGATTCTGCGGTTTGAACCTGAAGATGGAGATGAAGAGGGCGAGGGCGAAGAAGAAGAGGGGTCAGATGATAGTTTGTACGACATACTAACTGGAAGGACGCCGGTACCGGGTACGAGGGATAGCATGGAGGAAGATGGGTTTGGAGATAGTACGGGTACGGTGCAAGAGCTAGACGATACGTTTAGATCGCGGCGACGACATGCACAGGAAGATGAGGATGGACATGAGGAGCACGAGCACGAGCACGAGTACTTTGAAGAAGGCGTCTTGGGAGATAGCGGTATGAGTGAAATGTTTTGAATTTCCTCCCTCCCTTCCTTTACAAAAACTATATACCCCCCCCCTTTCTTCTTCTTTCCTCTTATTCAACCAAAAAAAATCTTTATTTCTTACCCTCATCCTCAAACCCCCATCGCCCCGTCTGATCCAACCCCAACGGATTCTGCCCCGTCTGCTCTTTTCCAGCAATCTTCTCAGGCTTACTGTAACTATCGACGTTTTTGCCGCCGAGCAGCTCAGACCGCTCTTCCTCGTGGCCCAAAAGGGGTGCTAGAGCACCGCGTGTGGTGCCGCCGAGCCCTTCGCCTAGGGGCCCGGTCACGAATTTTTCGAGGGGCGCGCCGACGGGGCGGAGCGCCGTGTTGAGGACGTTGCCTTGGAGGGTGGTTAGGCTGGAGAGGTTGGGAGATGGAGGGGCGAGAGAGAAAGGAGGGGGGAAGAGGGAAGGGGATAAGGGAGACGTACCGACTGGATCTCCGATTGCGCTCAAGAGGCCGCCGGAGCCTTTGCTTTGTTCCTCCTCTTCATTCTGTGGCTCAGTGGGGATGTGGTCTTGCTGGGCTTGTTCTTCCTTCTTGTCTTGCGCCATTTTGGTTTCTTGGTGACTGGACTGGGTTTTGAGGTACTCTTTTTTTCCCTCTACTTGAGAGTTGGCGAGAAGCGATGTATTACGCGATTTCTTTCCAAGACGCTATCGACTTTGGATGGTTTTCTGAAAGTTGGTTTGTTAGGTATAGATCTGGAGATGCCCGGCTTATGTCTAATACGAGGTGAAAATGCAGGGGTTATAACGAAGCACACTCACATTTAGATTTGGTGACTTGATGTCTGATCAGCTCGAGTCCAACTGGCCCACGGCGTGGTTATGTGTTACTGCGCAGATCAAGCTTTGGGGCGGGCTGTGACGTCACTGGTGGCTTCATGGGTGTGGGAGCGTCGACGCGTTACAGGATTAGCGGGGTACGGGACGCGACAGGGGGATCGGCACCATTACAGTCGTCATACAGAATCATCAGACCCTTCTTCACGCTATGGAATGTTCATTTTGGTGATAGGAGAAATCTACTGTACAGTATCTGAGCAAGTGTGCATTCGCAGCCCCGAAAAGTTCAAGTTTTGGCCAATCTGATACCATTGACGACTCTCATCATTCGTCATGCGTGATTCCTTTAAAAGCAAGAGGGATATCAAAGGACAAGGATATCTGACAGCCACTGGTCTTGGAATCCTTCATGTGTATGGCTGATAAATGCAAAAGCAAAGAATCAATTTCGTAACCCATTGTTGCTAAGCCGGCAAAGCAGGTGATAAAAGTAGTAGAATGACACAGTCCTGTCCGTGAAACTTCTTTTGCCGCATGAGATACCAGGGCAGTGGAATAAGAATCATTACATAGTCTGAATTCTTGGTCAGTCTCATCCTAGCACCTACTCGAATAACTCACCTTTCGTCAAGCAGCATGTTGAGCCAGGTTATCCTGCGACAGTCGGACGGCCGCCTGCGTTGATCTCTTCACCGGTGTGGTGCGCATAGATGGCAACATCTATAACAGTGTTGTTCTTATACCCCACCTTGGGGAGCCGACCGACACGATGGAACTTGCAGGCGTGGAGAAACTTGCCCTGCCACCCTGTCTCTGCATGTTCCCCATTCTCATGGTGGACGTTGAGCAGGATCGTCTTGATAACCCTTGCTGGCCCGGTCTTGAGGTATTCGAAGTTGTTGACGTACTCATACCCACCGCGAAGGCGGTAGCTTGTGTCCGCCATCTCTAGAAGACGATCCACAAGACATTTGCCAATACCTTTACTCGTATAACCTGGGTGGACGAACAGCTCCATCTCAAAAGTGTAGCGGAATAAGGATGCCTGGCTGCAGTAGTCATCCAAGCTGATGAAGCCTACAATCTTTTCTGTGACATAGCCGGGATTAACCCTGGACTCGTTGCTCTTTGAGATTGCGACCAAGTACGGAAGGCCTGCGCTGGTGACCGTGTTGATACGCTGGCGGATGTGATCTTCAGTGCGTCCGTCAAACTCGGCTGCGTAAATGGTGTGCTCGACGTAATAATTGTAAATCGCCTGTCAATATTGTTAGTTGGAAAACTTTGCATCATTGTCTAGATATTTGCCAAGTCCATCAGGGATCATTTAAGTTCATACTTACTCCAATGCCAACAACGTCTGCTGGCTGGACAGGACGAATGTACATGTTGGCCTTGGGGCGCAGGCGACGATCTTCCATGGCCTGCATTGAAAACGTCGAGTTCGGGACTGGACGATTACGCTTGGCCAACACGCGACGCTCCTTAGCCTCCCTACGTTTTAGTATGGCCTCAAGCTTCTCTGCAGCTGAAGCCAGCATCACAGGAGTGGTAGGATGCTCTGCATCGGTAGGGTCGATCCTAGCCTCCGGCGCCGGTAGACTGTTCAGGTAACAGCTCTTATGCTTGAGATACCGTTTACCCTGACCGTCCTCGTGGATCACCTCGGAATAGACCACATCTTCGTACATCTCCCACCAAGGCACATGGCCAGCAAGGTCCATATCATCTAGTGGCTTTGGGTCCGAAGCGGAGATTGTCTTCCAAGATTCTTTCAAGTTACAACCCTCGACCTTCGCCTCGAGCCAGTAACGAGGTGCCAGCTCTTTACAAGGTCCATCTTTGGGGCTGAAATTGCAGAGTGCGTAGTATATAGGTCTGGTGCACTCCCGTGAGTGTCCATTGATCCATTTCTCTACATGCGCACCAAGGTGGCGGTCGTGGTGTCCTTTCCGAGCGGACCATGATTCGGGGGCAGGAAGCCAATCGCCGTTCCAGTCTAGCAATTTCTTGACATCGTAGTTAGGGTCTCCGTTGCTCTCAGACCAGCAGTTGACACCGCCACCGCTATCGCTGTTGCCGGGAATATACTTCATGTCCCTTTGTTTTGGCCAAGGCTTCCTCTTGTACGGCTGAGGGCCACGATTCGAATGCGGATTAGCAGTTTTCTGATGAGCATGCGAATGCTTGATCTCAGGTTCATTCCAACCACCCCAACCGCCCCAGACGTTTTCGGGCATAACCATCTCTTCATTTTCAGGCCCATCCCAGCCGCCCCAGACGTTTTCGGAGGTAATCACATCTTCATTTACATGCTCTACAGGGTCATGTGGTGTGGTTGCTGGTGAAGATGGTGTTGCCTTGCGCATGTTGTTTTGGTTCCTTGAGTCATGTCAGCACGGCAGAGATACAAAAAAAATAGCAGTCTGAACCTGTAATGTCTGGAAGGACTTACTGAACTGACTCGGGCTTAGTAACAACCGTGGATTTGGACTTGTCCGAAGAAGAAGGCGAGCCATTGGTGGCAGCATTATTGCGTCCTGGATCTGTCGTCGCTTCGTTGGCAGAGGGACGGTTGCGCAGGTGTGGCGGAATAGAGGCCTTGTTGGAAGGGGGACGGCTGCGCAGGTGTGGAGGAATATAGGCTTCTTTTCGCAGTGTAGTCATGCCTGTGTCTTTTTTCCCTCTTTTCTTGTTGCGAGCACGTTTTCGTTGCGGAGAGTCTGGGAGTTTGGGTGCGTTTTTAGTCTCGTCTTGATTGAGCAACGAAGTTTGGGCAAGTGCAGATGGACTGACGTGGTGAGGGGATGGTAAGGTCGTTGACTGCGCACGTTGTTTGCGTTGGGAGTGTTCAGGTTGGGATGGTGGCTCAGTTTGCTGTACTAGTGCGCTGGTTTGGGTCTCTTGTGCAATTACATCCACTTTCTCATCAGTTTCGTGATGCAGTGGCTTCTTAGCAGGTCGACGGAAGTGATGTTTGTTTGGCCTCTGTTTTGTCGTTTTGGCTGTTAGCATACATGCGCAGGATAAATTGCAGTGTGGGAGTATGGGGTGGGTAGTGGGTAATAGAAAAAACTATGATGAGGGTGCTAGAAAAGTCTATTGTGGCTCTCACCGTAGTTGGCGTGTGATTGTGAAAGGACAGTGAGACATGATGCGGTCGTAGGGCTGGTTTCACTCACTGGGGCCTGTACCAAGTCTGCCTGTTGCTGCCAAGTCATATCTTCATTCTTCTGTTGCTTCGACATTTTAGTATGGGTATCGAGAGATTTCAATCTGGTCGGTTCGAGCTCTGGCGACTGCGGAAGTGAAGTGCAAAGATGCGAGTCCTCTATGGCTGTGTTCCTGATACCAACCTTCTTCTATTGTGTAGCAGGAGCGGATATCAGGAGATACTCAAGTAAAGCAAGAACAATCAGCAAAAAAGGTGGAGAGATGCAATAGTAGATAATGCGGCCTTCTATACACTTAGACAGAGCTGCCTAAGCACATGGTGAATGCTTGTTCACTTTACTTCACTTCGCCTTGTTTCTACAGAGTGGGCGCTTTCGTTGGTGAGGTGCTTAGGTCTAACGAGTCTTCACATGCTACGCAATCGTTTTGTTTGTAGGAAAGAGCATACGGGCGAGTAGTATAGCTGTCGCCACCGTGGACAGGTTACGCGATGACAAGACTCGCCATGATGTCTCAATAAAGTAAAGGAGGGACTACACTTTGTCACTGGTTCGAGTCATCAACGCAGTGTCGATCATCTGACAAGGAAAGACGTCGACTCTGAAGAAGCGTAGCGAGCTGGCGTTGAATGCAGGCGTCCGCAAACGGCTTAGCTCCAGGGCGGCTCCAGGGAGCCCATCGTCACTGTCTTACTTCTGCCTAGTAGGACCATTTCCTCATATTTTGAGCAGCGCAAGATGCTTTCGATATTACGGAAAGCTCGGTTGAAGGACAAGGAGATGCGTATCCTGATGCTGTGTGTGTTTGCAAAAGAATTGTTGTGGCAAGGACTGACAGCACTAGGGGTCTGGACAATGCGGGAAAGACGACTATTGTGAAGAAGATTATGAATGAGGATGTCAATAGCGTCAGCCCGACGCTTGGTTTTATCATCAAGACAATTGAGTACGATGGGTACGTAGGGCGAGCCGAGTGCACGAGTCCGGGCTAATGAATTAGTTACAAATTAAACATATGTACTTTGACCTGCTTGCTCGGGCACGAGTGCATGCTGACAGAACAGGGGACGTCGGCGGACAAAAGACGCTGCGGACATACTGGAAGAACTACTTTGAAAAGACGGACACGCTCATATGGGTGGTCGATGCGACGGACAGTGAGCGGATAGACGACTGCAGGCAAGAATTGGCAGGGCTACTGCTCGAGGAGGTTTGTCTAGTCCAAGTACTCATGGCACGACAAGACAGCATCTGACCAAAGAAGCGCCTTTCCGGAGCTAGTCTGCTGGTCTTCAAGAACAAAAGCGACGTCGCCGGGTCCATGAGCGAGGATGAGATCCGCGAGGTGCGTTGGGCTTGGGGCTGAGGAAACTGTTGAGTGTGGTTGGCAGGCCAATGGTACTAACTGCGCACAGGGTCTGCAGCTGGATGCCATCAAGACACACAAGTGGCACATCATGGCGTGCAGTGCCATGACAGGAATGAACCTGCGCGAGGGGCTGGAGTGGGTGGTGCAGGACGCCAAAGCCCGCCTGTTCCTGTATTGAGGCATCGTGGGTTGGAGCGAGGGTCGTATTACGCGTCAGGCACACAGGCACAGGCACAGGCTGGATGCGGCATCGGACTCGGACGGGCAAGGGGGCAGCGCAGCGCAGCCCGAAGGGTAGATGCGGGTATTTAGTGCAGTGGTATTGGTCTGGACAAGGTCCAACCGCTGCACGGTGGAGCGGGCGACGCAGCCTCGACGTTGATATGTACGTAGCATAAACAAACACGCTCCCAAGTCGTCTTGAGGACCTGCATCTGTCGCTTTCTTTTGCCTTGGTTCGTTTGACGGTGCGGCCTGGCCTCCGTCCCCCCACTCTCCTTCTCTTTCCCTCCTTTCAGCCCTGCGCATCCGCCATCTCAGCCAAGCATGAGGTAGCCGAGTCAAAGTAATTTAACGACCGTTCTACTAGTCTCAGGTCCGTCTTCGTACGTCTGGGATCCCACCCACTGCCGAGCAGCCTCAACCCTTGCACCCACCTGCGGATCGCTACCGCCCACCATGTCGTCGGACGATAAAGACGTCGACCCATCCGAGTTTGTAGAGCGTATCCGGCGCTTGGGCGACCAGCGAGATCAAGAGGACGCCGAGCGCGTCAAGAAATTGGAAGAAGAGCTCATCCAGGGCCGCAGCGAGAGACTAGCGCGACGAGCAGGTTTGTTTTTTTCTATTCCGTGGTGACTGCATTCGGCCGGGGTTGGCAGCTGCTGATGCCTTTGTCAAACAGAACGAGCCCGCTCAATTTCCCCCGACAAGCCATACACTCCCCAGTCGCCCCGTTCCGTCGTTGGCACTCCCCAGGCCATACAGGAGAAGGCTGCCACGACACCCACACCCACCATGAGCCCGCCAGCACGCGATGCCGCCCGCGATGATTCGCTGCACCAGCTCACCAGCTCCCCGCCCCCGCGGCCCACGTCAACATCGACAACAATGACCCTCGAAGACATGGAGCCTAAGAAGCCCGCCACCAACGCTGCCGCTCTGGGAAGGTCAGGCACCTTGTCGTGGAAGCAACGCCCACAGTCGGGGAGCATACGGCGCCCGCTCTCAGTGGCATCGCGGTCCCCCGAGCGCCCGTCTTCCAGCAACACCCCCGAACCTTCCGAGCCCGAGCCTGAGCCCAGCATGTCAAGAAGCTCCATTGCAGCCTCGCTAGGCGCTAAGGATCCTGCTTTCTTTCGTCAGACAGCTGATATTGGAAGGGGATCGGCAGCCTTCAGGAAGAACCAAGATGACACTGCTTCAGAAACCGGGTCAGTGTCGGGTCGGAGGCAGTTGGCCGGCATGTCGCGCGACTCGACCGTGGAGCAAGACATTGGCAGCCCGCCGGCAGAGAGCGCGCGCTCGAGCTCACCGGGCTCACGAGGTGGTTCCGTCCGCGGCAGCACCGTAATGAGCAATCGTTTTTCCACCAGCACATCGATTTCGGGCGGCGATTCGGATTCGGTAGTAAAAGGCAAAACGCCCCTGCCTGTGTTGGATTCGCAAAAGTTTGCTCCGCCCTCTGAGCAGGGCTCTTCAGTTGATGGTGGAGACACTGAGCGTGCAGCCCGCGCGCTCGCCATGTCACCTACCCAAGGGAGAATTTCGCCAGAGCGTGAGCGCTCGACATCACCAACAAAGGGCATGGGTGGCTTTGTGCAGAGTGCCATGCTCAAACGTAGTGATAGCGTGAGCAAGCGTTGGAGCACGCAAACACCCCCCGGCTTGAGCAGGCAAAACTCTACCTTGAGTAATCGTGGAAGTGTCTATGGCTCACTCTCAAACATTGACCGGCCAGTTTTGTCTAGGGACAATTCCATAGAGCCAACCCGCCCTACATCGAGTCGCAGCAATGCAACCATCACTGGTGCAGAAAAGGACAGCGCGCCCAAGGATGAGTTTGTCAAGCCATCATTGCCCCGTCACAGCAGAGCCAAATCAGTCGCATCAACCTTCAGCGCAACTTTCAGCGACAAGGATGCCTCGCAGGACGAAAACTCTCCTGCGAGTCCTTCGAAGCGATGGAGTCCCACAAAATCAAGTTGGTTGGAGAGTGCGTTGAGTAGACCAGAATCTCCAAAGCCAAAGCAAGCCCCTCCAGCTCAACCTGCGTGGATGGCTGAGATCAACCGCATCAAACAACAGCGTAGTAGTGTTGACCTGGGCAGAGGCAGCCCTTTCGGTGAATCTTCCGGCTCTGGCCGGACATCACCAATCAAGGACATAGTACAACTTAAGCCCGTTGGTCTGCGTCGGTCCGAGTCTCCCAAGAAAGAGGAGCCAAGTGTGTCCAGTAAAATGGAAACACTCAAAGAGCAATCTCCGAGCTCTGCGTCAGCGTCAGTGCCGAAGCCTCTTTTCGCCAAAAAGGAAGAGCCCAAACCCTCAGAAGAAGCAAAACCCTTGGAAGAGCCCACAGCCTCAAAAGACTCAAAAGACGTCCCGGAAAAAAGTCTCGATGATGCACCTACATCTGTTGTCCCATCAGCGACCGATGAACCTGCTTCGGTGGACGCCAAGCCTGTAGCTTCAAGGTTCGCCGCAGATACTGGCCGCAGTGTTTCGCCTGCAAAAACAGATACGACGCCAAAGACGGATTTCCGTGCGGGGCTCAAGTCACGTCAGCCTGCATCTGATAGCTCGAAGAAGGACGAAGTTAACGAATTTCAAAATGTCTTTGGTAGGTTGAGAAAAGCAGAGACAAAGAATTACGTTGCCCCAGATATCCTCAAAGAAAACATCACAAGAGGCAAAGGTGCTCTGAACATAACCGGAGGCCCTAAGCCTTCGGTCCGAAAGGATGAATTCAGGGAGAGCCTCATCAAGAGGAAATCAACCATCTTTGATAAAGCCCAAGAAGAGGGATCTGTGTTGAAGAAGTCGGAGAGCTCGAGACCTTCCGCTCCTGTCCCGGAAGCTATCGCCAAGCAGAAAGGATTGCAACGCAGAGATAGTGAAGCCAGAGCTCCGGCACCACCTAAAGAGAAGGAGCCCATGCCGGAAGCTCTCGCTAGAAGGAAGAGTCTTGGAGTTGTTCGGTCTATGCCAGATACTAAGTCTGCTCAGTCTGCTCAGTCTGCGCAGCCTGCGCCTTTGTTTGCCAAGAAAGAGCCAGCCATGTCTGGCAAGCTTGCGAATCGTTTCAACCCTGCGTTAGCCGGTATGCTCGCTCGAGGCCCGCCTTCTCAAGCGACCGACAAATCTACATCAAGTGCTGAGGTAGATGGGTCAACTGCCAGGCCGGCGCAAGAGAGAAACACCGAACCTGCACCAGAACTGCAACATATGACTAAAGGTCGCGCCCGTGGACCTAAGCGAAGGGCACCCGCCTCAAAAAAGGCTGCTATTGAGTCGGAACAGGCTCAAGAGGAAGTGCCTACTGCTGCTGCTGCTGCTCTGCCTTTGGTGAATTCCGAGCCTGTCCTCTCTAGCTCTGAGCCTCCTAAGACTAACGGAAAACCAGAGCAGCGACCAGTAGCGAGGACGCCTGCCAGGCAGTCAGCGACCGAAAAGCCTGTTCCACCAGCCAAGTCACCACGGGTATCTTCTGGAAACTTTGGAAAATCCCCTACCCCTGAGCTCCCGAAGAAGCCAGAGAGGATATCCGGATCTCAAACGACGCCCAAAGCCTCGCCTAGACCAGAATCTATCATTTCATCCAAGCCTTCATCACCAGTCATTCCCAAGAAACCTGCATCTTTGGAAGCGGAGAGGCGGGTTTCTGGATCACAAAACACCCCAACACAAAAGTCCCCATTACCAACACAGGTTGAATCACCAAAGTTAGCGTCATCCTCTCCATCTCCATCTCCTCATTCTCGATTTTCGCGACCGTTGCCTACATTGCCTCCCAAGTCAACAACAGAGAGTCCCAAGTCGACACCACTCAAGAAAATCTCAACCCCCAACGTTGAGATTTCACACGCTGATGATTCATCGCCTGAAAAGACAACGTTTTCATCAGTCAAGAGTGCTAGCGCTTTGTGGGGCAGATCATCTGCATCTTCATCACCTGTGCCAACGGGAGCTAAGTCACCCATTAAACTTCCTACACAAGCAGATGAACAAGCTGCGATGAAGGATGCTGGTCTAATTCGCTCTGAGGTGAACTCGAAGGCTCTACCCGGCCTCCCTCAAGCTGACCCTCAATCTCCTGATGAAGCGAAGGCACTGCCTCCAAAGCCAAAGCCTGTGGGGCTAGGTTTCAGCCTGGGAAGCTTAGGTGGACTGGTCGCATCTCGGTCACGAGAATCACTCTCTCAGCTGCCCAAGAGTACACCAATGTCACCACCAGGAAGTGCAAACAGGCCATTTTCTGAGCCTCCCGTCACGTCGCCAACCCCAAAGAAGAGTGATGGCATGTTTGCAGACTTCTTTGACGAAGACCCAGTAACAGAGGGCCAGCTACCAGAGCATATCGACACAATGCACATTCTCAAGTCGCCGCCATTTGACTTGGGCCCCACAGGCAAGATCCGCACTGTACGCAAGCAGATAGACGAAGTGACGAGCGATGGAAAGCTTTTGCCTATTCCAGTGCAAGAGGAGCATATCTTGTTCCAAGAGTCAATGTATTTATGTACACATATCTACGAAGATTCCAAGGGAACCAGAAATACCGACGTCTACCTATGGGCAGGCAATGGGGTACCAGAGCCTACAATAGAAGATGTGCAGATATTTGCGAAGAGCCACGCACGTCAGAGCCAAGGACGGTTGTTGGTCATTCGGCAAGGACAGGAGACCCCAAACTTTTTCGAAGCTCTAGGTGGCATTGTCATCACCAGGCGTAGTGTGAAGCCCGGATCAAAAGAGTTTATGCTATGCGGTCGTCGTCATATTGGGCACCTCGCATTTGATGAAGTGGACTTCTCACTCAAGAGTCTCTGCTCGGCGTTCCCTTACTTGATCTCCACTGCCACAGGTAAAGTCTATCTGTGGAAGGGCCGTGGATGCTCCGCTGAGGAGCTGTCTGGTGCACGTCTGATGGGTATGGACCTAGCACCTACTGGCGATTACAACGAAATCGATGAGGGAGCCGAACCCAATGATTTTCTTAACAAAACCTTCCCACCCTCGCCAGTGCCTTCGAAAGGCCCTGCCATCCCTCGCTCGGCAGACCATTGGCGCTACAAAGCCACCTGCGACAAATATCGGGCGCGTCTCTACAAGATCGAACAAACCATCAGCCAACAGGCAGGCTGGGGCCAAGCACTCCAGGTGAGCAGCTCTTTTTTCGCGCCGCTGCTACGAAGACCATCTTGGAACGCTGCTGAACAAAGGCCACAGACGCCACTCACGCCCAAGTCGCCTCAGGGTACTATCAAGACGGAGATCAAAGAGATCATGCCTTTCTCGCAGAGAGACCTGGAGCCGGAGAATATCTATGTACTTGATGCCTTCTTTGAGATGTACATGTAAGTCATCCTGTCTTTGCTTGTCAGCCGTGATACGGATATTATATATGCGGATGGGTGTTAACATGTAGCAGTATTGTTGGCCCCTTGTCCCGCACCCAAGCGCCTGCGTTCTCCACTGCTCTCATGTTTGCGCAAGCGTATGGTATGCTTGCTGTCTCAGAAGAAGACCGTCCATTCATGCCCGTCACGACGGTTGTACTAGAAGGTGTTCCTCGCGATATGAAGGTTCTGTTCCGTCACTGGGACGACAAACTTATTCCCGCAGCGGGTCTTATGAGCGGAAAGCTCGGGAGGGGGAAGAGCTTGAGGATTGTCGGTTTGGAGAAGGCTATCGAGGGTACGCGGCGATAAAGCGGGGTTTGGCGAAAGATAGATGGAGGCTTGCGTTGTTCACCGTGGCGTTTCTCTTCAATAGGCTGTTGGCAAATAGCCGGCATAGTCGGAGTTTTCAGTTCTTTATGCATATTCATTATGCTTGCATATATCAGGCGATATTTGCCCAGGGCTTGCGTGGCGGTTTCACGGCGTCGCTGCGGATTGGCCTATTAGATCGATGTCATCGGTTACGTCGTAGCCGCGAGACTTTTCAATACATTTGCTTCAGAATCATCACAAGCTGGAGAGTAGACATCTATGAATGCGTACTGGTGACAGTTGAAAAAGATGGCGTAGAGTCTGGAACACACGGATTGCCCCCTTAAGGAGCCCAGGCGCAAGCGGCAAACAGATTCGAGAAGAATATCGGAAATTAGCGATGTTTGGAGAGTGGGGAAGTTCTAGTTTCACGCGTGTCAAACGATTTACACATATACGGCCGCCCTACGGATGTGTGTACCCAAATTCGACCACTGAAACCGATTATCCCGCCAGTATTAGGAAGTAGAGATCCGTATCTAGGTTCTGCTGCAGCGTCCATCGATTATGCTAGTCTGCTTAGGGCATTGGGTGCCGAGCGCGATTCATGGAGTACTATATTCTGGAAGCATCGTAGCTTGTGGCGTATCAATGTTTCATATCCACACAAGCCCGCAGTGTTTGAGAAACATGAAGATAATACTGGCCAATGTATGAGGATTGCCCAAAGGCGCATTGTGTGATTGCCTCGAGGGGGGAGGCGCAGTGACTGATGAATTGCACAGAGCCCTAGATTGCATCGTCCTGTTACAGCCAAGGCTACACGTGACTACTAACTACATTTTGTGCTCTGACAGGGCCAACGGTTTTTACCCATCTATCTGGCCAGACGCCAGTGCTGTCAACCGGTTTACGCACCGTATTTCGAATAGCCGTAGTCGCAGGGCACGGACGATGAACATATTGTAGTATCTTGGGAAGGCCGGTGAAGTACCGAGAAGGTTGCGCGACGGGTCTCCCGTTCCAGCGCAATGGCATAGGAACGCATGACGCACGGCCACTTACCTCAAACCAGATGCGTCCATATTTCATTTACAAACCACCTGTCAGTGCATAACACTATACCCACCGGTACATCCTTTTCATCGACAAGGAAACACAAGCGATCCAAGCCTTGCCCAAGCCTTTTGCCGAGGTAAATAAGCACGAAGATCCCTGCACTGCTGGACCACTCATCGCCCTGCTTCCCACAAAAGTCTATATGAAGGATCCACCGCTGTGATGGAGCTTGATTAACTGTCGGGATGGCGACTTGGCACGCGCCTTGAAATGCGGGATAGTATCACGGCCAGGGGCAGGTCCGATTGCGCTCATTGGATACGAATTGATCAAGACACTAGTGAAGAACGATTCAGACAATTCACCCATGGGCACCGAGGGGCGAGAGGTGGCCCCATGACACAGGGAGGAAAGGCCCATCAAGGCAACGGATGAAACAACCGCAATATGTTTCCTGGTGTGTGTACCCAAGCTCTTTAACCGTCTTTGAGTATATAGGTCAAGACTTCCAAGACCAAATAAGCTCACCACCAAGCCTTTCATCTTCAACACTCAAGCAGTCTTTACTTCACTCACTCTCTTTTCAATTCACTCCTAGCGAGAACCAGCTTCTTTTCACAAACACCACCAATAAACAAACTTCAATCTATCAAAATGGTTGCCTTCACCTCCGTCCTCCTCGGCCTCTCCGCCATTGGCTCTGCCTTCGCCGCCCCCGTTGCCGATGTCCCTGACTTCGAGCTCTCCGCTACCCCCAAGCACTTGGCTGCCCGCCAGGACTACAACCAGAACTACAAGACTGGTGGTAACATTCAGTACAACCCCACCAGCAACGGTTACTCCGTCACCTTCTCTGGCGCTCAGGACTTCGTCCTTGGCAAGGGCTGGAGGCAAGGAACCACCAGGTAAATCCCGCAAAGTGTTCTAAACCCAATTCAATCAAATACTAACTCCTTTCTTCAGGACTGTCAAGTACTCTGGTTCCACTCAGGCCCAGGCCGGCACCGTCCTCGTCGCTCTCTACGGCTGGACCAAGGGCAGCAAGCTCGTCGAGTACTACATCCAAGACTTCACCTCCGGCGGCTCTGGCTCCGCCCAGGGCCAGAAGATGGGCCAAGTCACCTGCGACGGCTCCGTCTACGACATCTGGAAGCACACCCAGGTGAACCAGCCCTCCATTGTCGGCACGACCACCTTCGTCCAGTACATCAGCAACCGCGTCAGCAAGCGCTCCACTGGCGGAACCATCACCACCAAGTGCCACTTCGACGCCTGGGCCAAGCTCGGCATGACCCTTGGTAACCAGATGGACTACCAGACCATCTCCACTGAGGGCTGGGGCAACGCTGCTGGAAAGTCCCAGTACACCGTCTCCTCTGCTTAAATTATGGGTCCGTTCGTTGAGGGAATGAACCAGGGGTTCGGGGGATTGTGAAACAAAGGCTTGCGCAATCATCATCTCTCCTGGAGAGAACGATAGTCAAGGGCTTTGCTAGGGGTGCTGACGCTGTTGTTGCTGCTCGATTCGTTTGGTATTTATTCTTCTTCTTGATTTGTCAGGGCCTTGACACACCTTGACTTGTACATACTTTATTTTTGTCTGTTTCTTGTAGAAACGGAACTCGAATATACATATTGTCTTGTTTTCCCCTAGTCTGGACGACAATGGCAATGCCCCGGTTATGAACCGAGAACTACTCGCTCTTCTTTTGTGCGCTCTTCCCATTGTGATGACAGTGTCTTTTTTTTCTTACCTAGATCTTTCTTTTTGAGTTTTCACAAAAGCATATGTTCTTAGCGACTGCTACATCTTAGTCACAGTGAGACTCCAATTACCGCTGAGAACGCGGGCTCGGGTGTCGGCGGCGGTGGCGGATATATGTCTAGGTTGGCTAGGCTGAACAGCCAGTGGCAGGATGGTTTGTCGGACAAATATCACCACACACACACACACACACACACACTCACTACAAACATATTTTCTAACACGTTCGTAGCGGACATCTTGCCAAGAACGGGCATCGGGTCAGATCGTCCCCATACAGCAAAATCTCCTAAACTTAAAAATCCCTTTAAGTTTAACATACAACAGCTCTTACAGGCATCCTGACACCACGTGGCGGGGCTAAATAGGGGTCTTTTTTTGTTGCCATTTGCTTACTTTGAGTCTGGATTGGAAAAAGGATTACGGGACAGGGCGGCTCATATAAATTCAGCAGGGGAGGGGTGTTTGTGCCGCCCTGTCATCCTTTCGTGAACATGACAGACATGAATCTCAACAGTTTCATTATTGCGGAATCTGAGACTGGTGATGGTTCAGGTTGAGGCTGGGTAAATGCGTGTTTTTTTTTGCGATAGTTGAGGTGAAAGTTTCTTTCTCATCATGATGTTGTACGGGTTCCTTGTTTGGGGCAAGGGTACATGCAACACCAGCAGTATAGTGTAGATGATCTTATCTTTGAGGATGAGAGCACCCTAAAATACCCATCATTTGGTGCATCAGCACTTTGAACCCCCTGAGCCATATCTAATTCGCCCTTCCCCCCTCTGGCTGACTAAGGCTGTGGGAGATGAGGACAATGATGAGGCTGTAGTACAGGTCTCATGAGTCATAGGGATGTAGTGAAAAGATTTCAAATAATCCATACTATCACTTTGATACTGATAGAAGAACTTTACGTGAAAGATTGTGGTGGAGTGTTGGCGATGCAGAACTCTCTGGTCATAGTAGTTTTCAAAGGCTCACCATTATCACACCACTGAGCTCATCGGCAGCGCACAAAATTGATCCCTAATTTCTGGTACAGCGGCAGATAGTAATATATCACAGAAATCGTTTGTTGCCATTCTACAGGATGTTATGATAGCGTCAATGTCGATCAACATAGACGCGACAGTGCTCGGCGGAAATAATCAGGTTAGATTGCCTAAGCCCACAATCGGTAATTTACACCCACTAATACTTCAATATTATGATATAAAGCTATGGGGTTATATATGAAAGAGAAACGGGAACAATTATGGCAATATCAACACTATATCAGCTTGCACAGTACAGCCATGCGTCGATACATGCAGTAACATAACGTCATCGCAGGTTCTAAAGGAGGTAGAGCAGTCGCCATGAAGATCAGCCCTGCCTATGAAAACAAGAGTTCGTAGTAGCAGCTTACTGGCTGACGGTTGTATTTCAGCTAAAGTCAACAGTGAGATAACGCGACTCTCGCTGTGTTGATTCCAGACACAGCTACCTAGCGTGACGGTTCGAGATAGAGAGCACGTGTGCAAAAATATTGTAGGGGATGATAGACGTGCAGTTCACCGAGATGTCACTCCCTAGAACTCTTCCATAAAAATATGCCCGATGAACTCTTCCCAACAAAATATCCCGATGAAAGCGCGCCGTTGTTTTGATGTTCGCATGCTCGGTCACGGCAGCGCAAATGCGCAAGGCGAGAGTTGGAGGCCCGTGTGGACGCTAGTTCCAAAACGGCTTGCTAAGCGGATCTACACACTTTGGTTTCTCGCTCATTGACGACTTTGAGATTTCCCACGACAACCTCCTACTCACATCAACACCGTCGCCATGGGTAGGGTAATTCGCAACCAGCGTAAGGGTCGCGGATCCATCTTCACGGCCAACACCCGCCTGAACAAGAACCCCGCCCAGTTCCGCACGCTCGACTACGTATGTTCCGCCGCCCGCGACCTATGGCAAAATTGGGATACGCATACACTGGGAACGGAGGGCTAACGGGTACAGGCTGAGCGCAATGGATACATCCGGGGTGTCGTAAAGGAGATCGTCCACGACTCTGGTCGTGGTGAGTAGCTGGTGCCCGAATGCGGAATTCAGGACTTCCAATTGACCAATTTTTGAACAGGCGCTCCTCTTGCCAGGGTTTCTTTCCGTAACCCCTACAAGTTCAAGCACGACACTGAGACCTTCATCGCCAACGAGGGAATGTACACCGGCCAGGTCAGTATTTGGAAATCTCCGCATGGAATCATGCGCGGGGGGAGAATGGTATACTGACACCCACCCAAGTTCATCTACGCCGGAAAGAACGCTGCTCTCACCATCGGCAACGTTCTTCCCCTCCACTCCGTCCCCGAAGGTACCGTCCTCACCAACGTCGAAGACAAGAACGGTGACCGTGGTGCGCTCGGCCGTACCTCCGGTAACTACGTTACTGTCATTGGCCACAACCCCGATGAGGGCAAGACCCGTGTCAAGCTCCCATCCGGTGCCAAGAAGGTTCTTCCCAGCTCATGCCGTGGTATGGTCGGTATCGTTGCTGGAGGTGGCCGTACAGACAAGCCTCTCATGAAGGCGTCGCGCGCCAAGCACAAGGTACGCTTTATTTTAACTTGAATTGATGAGATTCGTTTGCTAACAAAAACATAGTTCGCTGCCAAGCGCAACAGCTGGCCCAAGACTCGTGGTGTTGCCATGAACCCCGTCGACCATCCCCACGGTGGTGGTAACCACCAGCATATCGGTAAAGCCTCGACCATCTCCCGATACGCCACCCAGGGTCAAAAGGCCGGTCTTATTGCGGCGCGGAGGACAGGTCTGCTCCGTGGTACTCAGAAGACAAAGGACTAGAGTGGTTTTCTGTGATGTGGCGGCGTTTTTCAACGACAGGAACGACGATGATGCGGTCGGTTATTCTCTCCATACCTCTCTGTGCGGGTGGCCGGGCGTTATAACGAAATGGAAACTTGTCGGCAAGCTAGGCTTTTCCCTACTGTGGCTTGCATGCATGATAGGTTCTTTAGGGAATGTGATTCCGATAAAAATGCATCTGGTCTGTACTTTTGAAAGTGTGTATGTGTGTATGTGCTTGGTGGACATGCTTATTGAAGCTTGGTTTTGTGGTACTGAATGTGTGTAAATAAATTAACATGACACAGTACTATGCCCCACCCATTTCAACGTCTCCATCTATACGTTTACGTGTGTGTCCCTGGTGTCCATCCTGATCACTACCACTGTCATCGTCGCCGTCCTCATCCTCCTCCACATCTGCACTCGCCTTGCTCTTCCTCCTCTTCTTCTTAACACTGTAATCCATGTCCAAGATCCTATAGTGCTTCCTGTCGCTTCCCAAGACCACGATTACCCTTCTGTCCTTTCGCCCGTTCACCACCAACTTGAGCGGCGTAAAGCGGCCTTCGAAGACGTGGCGCGTATGCTTTTCCACATCCTCGGGTGTCACAGGGATGGTGTGTCGAGAGGAATGCACCACGGGTTTGCCTTGAGGGAGGAGGCAGGAGGGGATTGAGGATGGGGAGGAGAGGGGGGTGAATGATATCAGCTGTTCTTTTTGATGGTGTTGCTGGTGCTGATGTTGCTGCTTATGCGTCGGTTGTGACATGGTAGTGTGTGTATAAGGCAGAGAGACGATGATGTTGGTTGGTTTGGAATGTTTCTTACGGTCACTATCTGACGGGGAGAGTTGCAAGAGGATAAGCATGTTTTCGTCGTCTGCGAATTTGGCGTCGAGGATCTTGGTTGAAGAGTCGGCTCCATTGCTGAAGTCTAGTGTGGATATGGCGTGCGAGTGCAGATCGCGCGTTAGGTGGGATATACTCTGGGTGTGGGTGAGGCGGTGGATGTGCAAGTGGGTTGGCGTGGAGTTTGAGGAGAAAAGGATGTAGGTTGATATGGTATCGGAGGAGGTTTCTTGAGAAGGCTTCTTTAGATGTTAGTATGTCGATTGAGGTTGGATTTGGGGAGTATTTTTCTTACCTCGGATACCATTCGCATATCCGCCACAATGTTCGATTCCTCATCTTCAGCTCCCATATCTTCGAGAACAAGACCCGAGTCCATTTGGATATTGGCCTGCTGCCACTTGCTTACTTGCTTTAGCAAGCCCGTCACACCTGTTGCCAAATGTCGTAGTACATGTTCCAAACACAGTGCCTCTTCCTTGAACGTCGCGCCTTCTTTCAGCAACGCAATCGCCCTCTTTGTGTCTTCATAACTTGCTGCCTCCTTCTCTCGACTTTTAGGATTCAATTGAGCTTCCGGTCCTAGGTAGAGAGCAACATCAGATTTGGTGAGGCCATACTGAATATACGCAAGGACTTGTGATACGTCGACTCCAGGATCCCGTTGCTCCATTTCTACACGCGATTGAGATTCCGGCTCTGTTGCCTGAAAATCAATAGTAAAGCGCAGCCACTTGCTGAAGCTGTGAAATTGGCGCTTCTCTTCCGTTGCATAGAGCATAGCGGTATGAGCGAGCAGCCTCATATTTTTCAGCGTTTCTAAAAGGGCCGAGAAGTCGGTGATAGGTCCGCTGAAGATCCAGTCTCGGTCATGAAACTGCGCGAGACCGCGCAAACGTGATATGACAATAGAGCAGCGGTCCAAGGCTGGGATGAGGTTTTCGTGAAGAAGAGCAAGAAGTGTTGTAAAGGATGACGTGACAGTCGTGTCCCAACGCTTATGGCCTGCTTCTGCCAGCTCGTCGACCAGCCATTCTTTCATTGTAGGGTTGCAGTTTCCCGTACATGCTATGTGGAACAGATTCGTGACCAGGTCGCCCAACTCTTTCTCCTCGAGTGTTTCGCTTATGTTCATCATGAACTTGCGCGGCAAATCTTGCGCGTGTTTGAAGAAAGCTCTGACTCGTTGCAGGGTTTGCGTGATATATAGTAGAAGGTTCTGTAGCTGCGAGGTTTTTGCGGCTATGAGGTGTAGGTAGATTCCCGCGGTAGGGATGAAGTTCAGGGTGAGTGGAACAAATGCAATGCTCTTTCTTGCCGGTGAAGCGGCAGAGATTGTCCGTATCAAAAGGCTATGGGTACAGCTATACGGATGGCTTGCATGTAATAGCGGCATATGTAGTGTGTTCCATGCCTTTGGTAGTTGGACGTTGACCGTTTCTAGCGAATCGTATATTGACGGATGTACGGTCCCTCGGTCAGACAAACGGATGAACATGTCGACAGAGTTATGGTCCTTCAGGTGATGTGAATGCAGCAATGAATCCACCTCGGCTTGAGAACCAAACGCACCAGAATCTGCCTGCGATATGCGCATGAAAGGTAGTGCTGGTGGGAGCGGTATCGCAGGAAGCTTGGGCAATAGTGCTTCCGTGTCCATCATGGCAAGTTGATCTGGTAGGTCGGGTGCAATATCCAAAGTTTGGAAATCAGGCTGTCGTTGTAGGAAGTCCTCCAACGTTGTGTCATCCTTGAAAGCATCCCAATCTTCGGTTGTAGGGTTCCCAAATGCATCAGTCTTCTCAGATGTGGCGCCACTTGTCTTTGACATCAACCCTGTCCTCTTTTTTACAGCATCGACATTGATAAAGTTCAGACCCCAGCCCATACACTTGACCCGTGCTGGAGCTTCTTCTGTCATGCTACTATTTCCTTCATCGACATCCGGTAGCATGACATCTTTGTGCGTAACCTTGCCCGTTTCTGCACTGATCAGGTCTGTGCTCCCATCGCTCCAACTAACAGCGATACTTTTGCCGTTGAATTCCCACTGCATCGCATCCACGGACACATCGTCGCTCTTTCTTTTCAGACCAAAGGCTCTTTGGCCGTTGATTCTGTAGACATCCAGACTCTCTTCATCTGTGACTACGGCAACAAGATCCATGCTAGGGCAGTAGGATATCAGATGCGGGTGAATTGGATGCAGTAGGGTCTTTTCCGCCTGCTGTAAAAGCTGCGGTTCTTTGGGTGGGCTTGCAGTCGCCATGATTGCTGATTTGTTGGCCTCGAGGGCCGTTGTGTGAAAGGGCAAGAAGTTGGGTGTGTGTATTCAGTGCTTATGATTTGTTTGTAAAAGCGCGTTCTAGTCTGAACATGACTAGCGCAGTCGCGCTATCACGTTCGCAGACTACTCGTGCCTTGTCACGCCAAAGAAGACGCGGGGCAAAATTCTGGTAGGTGGCACTTTGACACAGTAGCCGCAATCCCCATCTGGCCGCCTCGGCTTCATGGTTGCATAAACGTGCGCATCCTGATGATTAGGAATATGAATGTCTGATATTCATCTGTGGAGAAATGATACCCAGCATAATCGCCGGGATTCCTCTGGGTATCCATGTCATGCTATCGTAGTACAAATACAAATGGCCGGCACCTTTATCTCGGGGGCCATCTCCCAATCCCTCAAACCCATACTGCAACAAGAGCCGTAAACGCCACTGTGCGGTGTAATGTGTTGCACAAACCACATCTAATTCCCAAATCACGAAACGGGCAAGACAGACCCACGTACAACCCAGGATAGCAAAATTCTCTATGCAAACACTCTCATGGTCCTTCTATCGACGCGCTGAATGATTCCTCTTTGGTTGCACAGACTCTTTCTGTACCCGCCCTCTGCCTGTCCCACTGAGTCTGCCACTCAGCCGCGTCTCCTCATCAAAGCTGGGCCGCTTTGTGTTGCGACCGCTCTCCAGATCGTCATCGCTATCACCGGCAAGATCGCCCAGCTCGAACTGGTTCTCAGCATCGTAATCGTGCATCAGAGCGCTCCTGTCTCCTACGTCTGCATAGCTAGACCTGCTGTTTCGGATAACGCCATTCGACTGGTGCTCGTAAGGATCTCCGCTGCGTCGCGATTGCATACTACGTCTTGTAGGGAAGCCAGAAATGGCATCAGATGGCGGACCGTCGAATCGAGAGCCAAGTGCTGGATCGGCGCAGGGGTCTTCGCGGGATAGGTTGAGAAGGTATACGCCAGAAAAGATAATAAGAAAACCACAAAGGAGAGAAATGGTGTTGACCGCAGACGTGGTGTTGAAACCTTGGAACAAAAGACATGAAGCAACAAGTGTACAGGTTGTAAAAGTAACATAGTAAAGGGGGTTCACGCTGAGTCGCAAAAGTCAGCACATACGCAAGGGAGCTTGAAGCATGGAGACGTACATGTTTGTGGAAAACTGGCTCAGTGCCTTGTTGAAGTAGTTCATCTGAGTGAGGATGCACCCCACTACCAAGATGACGAAGACGTATGTCGAGGGATGCGTGAACTGGTTGTTGCCCGCAAATGTCATCTTGAGCGCAATACCGAAAGCCTTGATGAACATGATGGAAACGGAGCCGGAGGTGGAGCAGATGGAAAGGTAAATGAGGGGGTTCTTGCGACCGTACTTGGGCGCGATCTTGTAGATCATGAAGACACAGAAGACGACGCAGAAGGCGCAGTAGAAGAGGAAGCCTGTAGTCATGCCTTGTTAGTCGCTGCTGTACAAAAGCACATGAGAAAGCTGGGATGTATGCGTACCAGGCTGTAGAGCAAGGTCCAGAATCTCCTCAACCGACTGAACTTCCTTGTCCGGCGGGGCGTGTAGTACGATGATGACGGAGCCGATCAGACATATGGCGCAGCCAATCTTTCCCAAACGACCCAATTGTTCGTCCAAAAAGTACGAGCCGAGGACAGCACCAATGAGGACGGAGAGAGCTCCGAGGGGGGTCACGAGGATGGCGGGGGCGAAGGCATAGGCAGCGAAATTGAATATTTCACCGAGTACCACTGTAGAGCAAGTCAGCGGTGCAAAGGGCAGTGACAGCGTGTCGCGACGTAGTGTAGGCGCACTCACTTGTGATGATGCCTGCCCACCACACGGGGTTCTGGAGATATCCAAAGCCGTCGCCGTCGAAGCCATGCTTCTCGATGGAGGCATTGAGGCCCTTCTTGGTAATTACAAAACTTGCGCCGATGGCCAGGGACGAACTCATGGCCAGCATGAGCCCTATGTATCTGGCGTCACAGTCAGTGGGCCGTCGTCGCTGGGGGCAGGGCGGTGCGGGCGCATAACGTACTTGTCTTCCACCATGATGGCGCCGTGTAGAGGTCTATGCGACCTGTCTCAGCGGAATCGCGACCAGATGATGGAGGGAGGAGTGGCCGGGTCGGGGTGCAAGACTGGAGACGAAGAGGAGGGTGTGAGGGTGTGTGTGTGTGTGTGCGCGGTGGAAGCAGCTGTGTACGGGGTCCGACGTTAGGGTGGGTTGGGGAGCGCAGCGTGGCGTGGCGGCGGGCTAGGCGCAGAGGTGCAGTGTGGGCGCAGGCGGGTTATCGATAGGCCTCGGTATCGTGGCCTGGAGTGCCCAACAGAGCAACGCGGCGGCTACCGTCTTGCGCTATTGGTAATGGCGTGTGCAGAGGGTGCTGAGGAGGCGACGCTGCAGCAGCAACGATGCAGTCTGAGTCGGGAATGCTGGCGCAGAGGCGTTGCGTGTTTCACCAAAGCACGGCCAAGGACCCTGTGCCTGTCTGTGTCGTGCCGAGCAAAGACGACCTGGAAACGAGCGGACGAAACGAACACACGCAGATGTGATCAAGGCAGCAGGCGAAGTCGTCACAGTCGTGGTAATGGGAGTGGCTAGTGGTGGTGGTACAAATGGAGAGAACAGTAGCAGCAACAGCAGCAGTAGTAGTACATAAGGAGCAGCGTCAAGGCCAGAAAAAGAAAACAACAAGCGAGCGTGGTGTCAAGGCAAGAAAGGTTGCGCGTATGCGAGAGTGGCCATATGTACTTGGTATTGGTGCGCCGGCGGAACAGGCTGGACATGGACAGTCTGCGCCAACAAGGAGAAACACCTGTCGGGCCTTGCCTTGGCTTGTCTGCCGGCCATCGTAACCAGGTGGCGTGCCACACGTCTACGAGTCCGAGTCCCCCGACGCGCCAGTGTCAGCCCCCCCAACGTTTCACGGCCGATTCACTCAACGCCAAGGTCATAGCTTGCCGATCCCCTCGTCACGCAGTCGACGCGGCCTCTGTCTCCTGCAATGTCGCCCTACTCTACTCTACTTACTTGCACTCTATCAACAAGACGCCCAACCATTCATCTGCCTCCGGATTGCCCAGACTCCTTGGCCTCGACTCAATGTGCACCCTCTCCTCTTGCCATATACCCTCGTACATATCTCCACCACGTCGCCAGCTGAGGCTGTCGATAATGTTTAAAAAAAAACTGCGCCTCGTCATGCCGTCCTTAGTCGCCCCAAAATAGCAGGCCTCGTAACCCTCTTCCCCACAACCTGGTCGGAAAATATGGAGAGCCTAGGCCATTCGTGTCATCATCGCCTGCAACCGGAACCTAATTTCTTAGGCCACGCTGAGCAATCGTCACAAAGCTGCAAATAGTCCCACGCCCACATTAGCCTTGCAGTCTTCCATTGAGAGCCCCATCGTGTCTCTACATCCCTATGACTACCTTGGGAAAAAAGCAAAAAGTGCCTCCAAGCACTTGGGTATATCGCTCAAACTGCCTCGCCCCCCTCTATCCCCCCCTCCCCCTCCAGAACCAAACCACCATGCAAACAACGTCACGTCACTCCTTGTCCGCACTACAAATCAATCGCCGTCCAACAGAAACCAATGCAGAAATCACAATCCGGGAAGGTGGTGCCGGGGTATAACAAAGGAAAATCGCCAGAGATTACCTTCCCTCTTACCTTTTGCCCCTCAACAAAACCAGAAAAAACTATCTCAAAATCTCGTCGTGCGTTGCAATGTCGGTCCTACAGTTAGTGTACACTTGTATTAGCTCAAATTTGGGTGGATTCCAGCACTGCATGTCCATGTAGCTGCTTGTTAGTATGTCTGAAGACCCAAAGACTCAGAGGATGGGGCGCCTTCACACTCGTGCGCGTTTGGCGTCTACATGTACAAAGTCAGCGCTTGCCTTTCGCTTCAAAGCTAACCAGGTCATCATCGTACCTATTGAGTCGGATGCAATGTCCACTCCGTGTCCAGCCTCGTCAATAGATCGCTTGTGTCCTTGTGAAGACACATCATGGGCGTCGGTAGACGAGGCCGGCGTAGGATCTGCAGCCGAAGACGTTGCACTGTCGAGCTGTCCAGCCACGCCATCCTCTTCATCTGGAGCCTCGACATTGTTGTATTCATGTCCCGTCGTCGTCTCTGCAACGTCTTGGCCTAGGCCCTGATCGACAGTCCACTGCGCATTGTCCATGTCCAAAACATCATGCGCCATCGTCGAGTAATCGCCATCCGTAGCAGTGTTTTCACCGCCATCTACATCTTCTCCATTTGTGAATTCCACCTCTGCTTGTTGTTCCAAGTTCTGGTATTCATAGTCGCCATAGTCTTGGTTAGCATCGCCATCAAACTCAAACTTGGTCGTGTCATTTTGGACTTCATCCGATTGCGACTCATCGGGGTCGACTTCTTCAAGGGCTGCAAGTTCTTCATCGTATTGCCAATATTCATTGGGATCGGTGTCGTAGTCCTGCTCGGCGTCGACGTCGGGGTCCTCTGTAGTGTCGAGACTGCCTTGGTCCTCGTCTCCGTTTGTTTGCTGGCCAACACTTGGTGATCCTGCAGTAGGTGACTGCTTCTCTGCATTGGATGTCTCGTCGCCTTGCACAGTGGCAGGCGAGGGCGAAGGCTCAGTGTGAGTTGCTTCTTCAACCTCCTCGACAGCAGCCGACTCCTCGTCCTCCCCATCGCTATAATCAATAATGTCGCCTTGCTCTTGCAAGCGACGAGCCTCCAGTTCCGCTGCAGTCTGCTCATCAGACTGTGAGCGTGTCTGTTCAGTGTAGCCTTCAACCCTGTGTGGGTCTGTAGAGACTTCACTGGAACTAGGAGGCTGTGGTGCGTGATACATATCGTCATCCTTTTCATGGCCTCCGATGGACACGTTTTCAGTAGCAGTCTCTACGTTTTCGCCAACCTCAACACCCCCTTCCTCGACAGAGTCTTGCGTGCCATCATCTTCATGGCCATACTCCTGGCCAGGATCTTGCTGGGGTTCAACTGCTGCGTAAGTCTGTTCATCAGGGTTGTCTTGATCCTCTGGCTCAGGTTGGTCTCCTGCATGCACTTGGACATCGACGTCTTGCGGGGCCTGGTTTTCAATATTGCTTTGCTCGTTTGCATCTTCCGCGGGCCTTGCGTCATTCGAATCTTCCTCATAAGTTTGCCCGTTTGAACCTCCCTCTTGTGATTGCTCACTCGCATCTCTCTCGTGGCTGTCGCCCTCATCATCCCCGTGTTGCTGCTCCTGCTCCTGCTCCTGCTCCTGCTCCTGCTCCTGCTCCTGCTCCCGTTCTTGCCCCTCAGTGTCCCATTCGGTATTTTCCTCGACTGGAAGATCAAGAGGTGCAGTATGAAAGTTAGTCTCGCCTGCAGCAATAGCAGCTTCGAGCCCAGAGTAGCCACGTCCGTTGTCAGCATATCTTGCTATGTCTGCGAGCAAGGTAGCGAAGCGTGGGCGATACATCAAAGTCACGTAAAACGAGTCTGGATCGTTGTTACCATCTTGTTCATGGAGCACATGGTAATAGCCCACGAGGCGTTCGAGGGAGATGGCTACACAAGCCGTGTTCTCTTCAAATAGCTCCATGTTTTGAAAGTGATCAAAACGGAAGCCAATTTCCATTCCATTCAGCACCTCGTGGCCCAGTGCTGAACGACATGCTTGGAAAAGATCTGACATGCTCGTTTTGGCCACTGACACGTCAGTAAGGAGCCAATCCCCACTGTTTTCATAGTCATGCTGCTTGAAAAGCCATAGCTCTTCGCCCATGCAATTCACGGTGACAGGTGGTAGCTGCTGGAAAGAAGCATCTTCCTCATGTTGATTGACTTGAGCAGATTCATCATGATCATGGCTCGGAGGTTCCATGTGATTGTGGCCACTTTCGGCACTTGCATGCTCTCCTTGGTCTTTGAGCGCAATGCCGCCGTCCTCGCCATCAGTCTGAGCATCCTCTTCATTGGGATCAGCTGACCGAGCACGGAGTGAGTTCTCATTATTATCACCTTTCGTGCTCCCGTCAGCAACGACGTCAGGGTGCGCATATGGGCTCTGTGAGTTTTTGCTTGTGTTCGTGGACATCAGGGCTTGTAAATCAGCAGGTATTTCGTCTTGTTGAACTGGTGCATCCTGCGCCTGGAGTGGTTCGTTTTGCTGAGCAGACGCATCATGGGTCTCAAAGGGTTCATCTTGCTGAACAGGCACATTCTGAATCTCAGACGGTTCGTCTTGCTGAGTAGGTGCATCCTGGACCGGGCCCGGTTCATCTTGCATAGAATCATGTTGCTGTAACCAGGGTGAACGAAGAGCTGTATCGTGGTAATCATCGTCCTCTTCAGAATAGTCAAGCAGGTCTTCATCTTGGACTTCGGCTTCCGCCTGAGTCGCGACGGTGTCGGTTGCAGCGGGCTGTTCGGCGACGGTGTCGGCATCAACGTCAACATCCACATCGACGTCTTGATCTTGGTAACTATAGTCCTCTTCGATGACATCCTCCTGGTCGACCATGTAATCATCATTGTCACCGCCGGGTGCTTGGGCATCCATGCCACTCGCCGAAGCAGCGTCGCCGATAGAGACATCATCATCCGGGCCATACGGAGGCGGAGGCTCTAAATCCAATTCGATGTCACCATCGTTGTAGCCGAGAATGCCATCGTCCGAGTGCAAGTCCATGTCATCGGCTGCAGTAATGTCGAAACTAGGCGTGGGATGCGTAGTAGCAGCCATGATAGCTGTGGGGTGGCGACAAAGGGGTTTGCGGGTTTAGGTATGTGTATCGGTCGAAACGCGTAGATAAAGGAGCGTGGGGAGCGCGTCAGAGCTTGGTGCAAGTCACAAGGTGGCGATGCAACAAAGGGCAACACCGGGACGCAAACTGGATAGTGGTTGCACTGTGGCAAATGAAAGCTAGAATCGCATGGTGAGGCGGTCTCTGATAGTTTTGCAGTCGTGAAGATGTGGACTGGGTGAGGGTGAGGGTGAGGAGGACAGTGGAAATGAGACAAAGTGCGCACAGCGGTGTTGGCGCTAGTACGGGAAAGAAGACTGGTGGGAGCGGGCAAGTGGCAGCAGAACGTGTGCAGTACGTGTACTTGTTGTAGACCTATCGGAAAAGCCGGAGTGGCCAGTGATTCTGTCGTGTTGGTTTAGGGTTGCAATTCTGAGCGCGCAAGAGTGGCTGTCTAGATGCGGGTTTCGCAGTTGAAGAGTTGCTGGTGATGACTAGAGGGCATGGGCCGGAGAGGCTACTTAACAATGGCAGCCGGCGCTAGGCAAATGCGGGTGCACGTGACTCCAGGTGTCCACTTGGAACCTCCAGGTGTTGCGACTGGGTGCAGCTGCACCTTAGAGGCGGTGCCTGTCAACTTATCTTCGTAATACCCAGAGACAATTTGCCTGGTCTTGTAACCACTTTTGGCTGGCTCTGCTATACTTTGTTCCTGGAACCTGCCTTCAAGATACGCCTGCTGTCTTGAACAACTGTCCGTCTCAATAATATTCCCCACCATCTCCAGCAACGCGGCTACACGTCCACAACCTTACCACCCAAGTCACCACTACTTCCCAGCCTCTCCCGCCTTCCTCCCAACACAATCAGGTAGACATTAGCCACAATGGTATGCAATTGTACACGACACATGGCAGTCGACCCTCTGTCCACCCGCACCAAGCTGACGAAGCCAGGTGGTCCTCGCGGCTTCAATATGCACAAGAGGCGGCAAGGCAGTCCTCTCGCGCCAATTTCGAGAAATGCAGCGCTCCCGGATTGAGGCTCTTCTCGCTTCTTTCCCCAAGCTCGCCGACAGTGGAACCCAGCATACCACCTGCGAACAGGACAACGTGCGCTATGTCTACCAGCCCCTCGACGAACTTTACATGGTCTTGATCACCAACCTGCAATCCAACATCCTCCAAGACATCAACACTTTGCACCTCTTCGCCCAGGTCTGCTCCTCGATATGCAAGTCTCTCGACGAGCGCGAGATCCTGAAGAACGCTTTCGAGCTTTTGACGGCCTTTGATGAGATTGTCACACTGGGATATAGGGAGAACTTGACCTTGAGCCAGATCAAGACTTTCTTGGACATGGAGTCACACGAGGAGCGTATTCAAGAGATTATCGCACGGAATAAGGAGCTTGAGGCTTCAGAAGAGCGCAAGCGTCGGGCCAAGCAGCTCGAGATGCAGCGCAAGGAGATGTCGAGATCGCAGCGAGCGGGTGGAGGCATGGGAGGAGGTATGGGAAGCGGCATGGGAGGTGGAATGGGTGGTCGATCGCCATCGTATCCCACTTTCACGCCCAGCGTGCCCACGACCAACGTTACCGACACCTACGACTCGTATGAAGCCGAAAAGAAGAAGGCGTCGAGCAAGCCATTGGCTCTCGGCAAGAAGGGCATGCAGCTCGGCAAGAAGAACAAGACCAGTAACATGTATGAGCAAGTGACTGGTGAGGTCGCGCCAGCTGAAGAAGAGCCGCTCGTTGCACCCAAGCCAAGCGCATTCGCTGCAGCAGCCCCAGCAAGCGCACGCCAATCGACCTCCACCGACCGCGAACCCGTCCATATTACCACCAACGAGACCATCTCTGCAAGGCTCGACCGTGAAGGTCTTATCAAGTCGTTTGAAGTCAAGGGCGAGATGCAACTCAAGATCACTGATGCTTCCTTCACACAGGTCAAGCTGGACCTGGCCACGGGAGACACTCGCGGTGCTCAACTTATGACACATCCGAAAGTCGACAAGACAGTTTTCAGGAATGACAAGGTCATCCAGCTTGCCGACACAAGCAAGGGCTTCCCGTCGAACATGGGTATTGGTGTCATGAAGTGGAAGCTGGCACCACGACCAGACGATATCTCGGACCCACCCATCACATTCCGTGTCTGGGTCGAGGACTCTGGCAATATGTACAACATCACAGTCGAGTATGAGCTTACCGGTGGCGACTCGCTCAAGGATGTTACTGTCACCATCCCTTACCAGACGGACGAGCCTAACGTGTCTTCTTTTGATGCTGTCTATGAAGTCAGCGGTGACAGTATTGAGTGGAACATTGGTGCCGTCGATGAGGCGAACAGCTCCGGCAGCTTCGAGTTTGAGGCTCAAGCCGGCAGTGATTCTGAATTCTTCCCCATGAACATTCGCTTCAGCAAGAGCACACCTTTTGTGGATGTAGATGTAAGTCTTTATTACGATCACCATACTTGCCCACGAGGAAACAAGTACAATAGAAAAAGTATACTAATCAAGACTATAGGTCTCGTCTGTGACCCTACTCTCCATGGGCCAAGAGATCAGCTTCTCCAAGGACGTAAAGTCTGTTGCCGAAAACTACACCATCTCATAAACGATATCATGTTTGTGTTGAAGTCGCAAGCGAGATCCAGTATCAGCAGCAAGGGGTGGATGAATATGCTGAAGAGGGTAGCTTCCCTAGGATTTTCTTGGGAAGTCAGATGTAGAGGGGGTCCAGATAGACACTTAAAACTGGAAATGACATGAATTTGTGTTGAAGAAGAAGATTATGACGTGCCCATGTAGGTGGAAACTGATGTATCATTGCATAGTTGCACAGCATATAGTGGTCTTACTATGCAAAGTGGACATGGCATGTATTGAATGTCGGATAAGGAAAGGTATGCTGACCAAGACAAGGATCTCACATACAATACCTCTCTTTTCCACAAAGTCGCCGTTGCATTCCCATGGTGGTTCCGGCTATGCATCATCTGCAAGCAAAACAGTCAAGCATACAACGTGTATGTGTCCCTACATCCACCGCTCTACAAACGCATCACAACAATGCACTTGTACATTTTTCACCACGCACACGTAGCGCAAAAAAACAACAACAACAACAACAACAGGAGATTGCATCAAGATATCCAAAGTTTATATTGCCACCGACTACTCGCTAATCCCCACTGTTACAATAACAACAACGAAAGTTCGTCAATGGTATATATAGTCAAAAAAAGGCTATAGACAGCAAAAAAAAAGGGGGTGAGGGGAAGGGGGTTGCGGTGATAATGCTCAGCCAGCCCCGCCCCTGTAAGAAAAAGAGAAAGAGAGGACAGCGAGGTATCGAAAAAAGAGCAGAGAAAACAAAAGCGGTGCCGGCGGAGGAAGAAGAAGAAGAAGAAGAAGAAGAAGAAAAGTAGTACAAAGATCTAATATAATCGGCCGTTAAGATCAAGTTGAGTAAAAGTCATGATCAGGAGTGTGTGTGTATGTGTGTGTGTCGAACCCTTTCGGCATAAACCTCCATAAAGGACCGTCGGTCGGTCGAGAGGAAGGGGGAGGACATCTAAATAACCGCATCACCCAAGAACCCAAAGTCCTCCATCAACGCATCGAGTCGACTAACCGCACTCTCCCTATGCACGCTAATAGTCCTCTGATGCATAATGTGCTCCACGCTTCTCGCTTCGCTTTCCGCAAGCGTGCTCTTGCTCGTTGTCTCGTCGGCGGGGAGGCTGTACTGGAAGCCGAGGCCGAAGCAGGCGGCTTGGCGGCGGGAGGAGCGGCGGGAGGAGGTGGTGGAGAGGATGTGCGGGGAAGTGGGGGGCGAGGTGAAGAGGTTGGAGTCGAAGGTTGAGATGCGGAGGGAGGATAGGCGGGGTGGGGTGGAGATGCGGTGCGTGGAGGTTGTGTCGTCTTGTTCTTCTTCGTAGTCTTCGTCATTGTTGGAGGAAGAGGAAGAGGAAGTAGAAGGGGAGGACGGGGTGGTTCTGGTTGCGGTTTGGAGCTGGATTTGGGAGAGGAGGCACGAGAGGTGGGTAGGAGAGGAAGGGGTGGGATCAGCGTATGAGTAGCGGATTAAGAGGCCCTGGGGTATGTCGCCATCGCTGTCGTTGCTGGTGAAGGAGCTGAAGGTTGGGGAGAGGACGATTTCGTCTTCGTCTGAGATGGGAGAGTTGTAGCCGATGGAGTCGTTGCTCCAGGTGGAGAAGTGGCTGCGGGCTTTTTGCTCGAATTGCAAATCAAGATCCAAATTCAAGCTGTCCAGGCGCTCTTCGTCGTCGGCTTCTTCGAACTCGTCTTCTGACTGTTCGGCTTCTGAGTTGGTGGTTGGGGAGCGGTTGCAGGCGTACAGGGGTGCGGGTATTAGGTAACGGGGAAGTGCGGGAAGCTCCTTGTCGAGAAGTGACTTCCGGAATGTTGGGTTGGGACGCTCGCCATGGTTAGATGTAGGGCGATCGTCTGGTGTTGGGGCTCCAAGGTAGCTAGAGGGCCGCGATAAGATAGGGGCAGATGGGGTGTCATCCTCCACCACGGTGTCCTTCTCTTGAGGATTTTGCATCAACTTGGGTGAGGTGAGCCATGGATCGTTGGAGAAGAGGTAATGCCGTGTTCGCCGTGTGTCTGCTGAGTTGGCACGAAGTCTGGACTGCTCGACCTGGAATTCGCTGGTAATGATTGATGAGGGCACATGCGATCGTCTGCGCGTGGGGCGCTCCTCGATGGCCGATAGCTCGGCAGGTCCAAAAGCCGAGTCTAGATCAGGGTCCACAGGATGTGATGCCAAGGGAGAGAACTTCTTTCTCAAAGAGGGCAAAGATCGTTGCGGCGTAGTTTCTGGTTGGGCCTCTCGTATTGATTCAACTGATGGACGATACACTGACAAGGGAATGAGGTTGAGATCCTCTCCACCACTGACAAGCACAGGCGAACTAATTTCCAACTCTCTGGGTTTCGATCCACATCGATTTCTCGAGTTGGCTCGTTTCGAGGCCAGCTTGTCTTTCAGGGCCTTGAAGTCTGCGAAGATGGGAGTAGAAGGCAAGTAGGGTGATGCCGATGCACTTCGCGCATGGCGCACATTGTGCGGCGACAAGAAACAATCCATGGGTGCATGTGTCGCAGACCGCGGGGTCCAGGGCGAAGGCAAAGGAAGCGTTGATGCCTCTGGTGTCCCCGCTGGCCGTGAGGAAGGATGCGACCTTGGAGGCGTAGGTGGAACTGGCGTAAGATATCTATCGTTGGGATTACGTGTGAAAGCAGAAGTCGTATCAGAGTTGCTGCGGTTGTGTCCTTCACGAGGTACATCTAGAACGTTGAGGCGTTGACCTGGCAGAAGAGGGCAAAATGTTGTAGATTCCTCAGCAGGGTTGTGTAGCTCCTCATCACCGTCGACCTTGTACTATATTGCTGTCAGCTTGTGAAGCCACTTAGCATAGCAGATAACCTACATAGTACCAATAAGTGCCACCCATCTTAAGTGGTCCGTCGCGTTTTGGTGATTGCTGGGTCAGGTCTCCGTCGCAGATAATGTCAGAAAAAGTAAAGCAACCTTTCCATATATTACGGCCCCCGCGTGAGTCGAGTTCCAGTGGATATGACCGGGTAAAGTTATCCCAGGATCCAAGTAATACTACACTGCGTAGTGCGGCAGGGCAGTGGCTTGATACGAGGGTGAGCGACGGGCACTGAAGTAGGAGGCACTGAGGGGGTAGACATACAAGAGAAAAGTGTGGAGCGTGGTGTTGTCCATGGCCACGATACCGGAAGAATCTAGGCTGATAACGGTAAGGCCTGTCAACTTTGAAGCGCGTATGCGTCTAAGCCCTGGCTCAGTCTGAGGAGTTGCATGGGATCACGAGTATCAAATATAGAAGTCCATGCAGAAGTATGTGTTGGATTGTTTGAGCCTGGTCCTTGTGTATGGCCGCGTCAGAGGAATGTCCAGGAAACGGGGCAAAACAATTCAGTGATTGGTGGGCGGAAGTCAAGCGTTTAGAAGAATGCTGAAACCGAGTCCTCGAGGGTGTATGTCGGATTACGGCGAGGCTGACCGGGGGAGGCACACGCTGCCTGAGGAATGGAGAGCCGGCCTGGGAAATTTCCGCAGCAAACAAAAAAAGCCTCGATGTTTTATGCAGGCTGTTGCCGACCGGCAGCACAGTGTTGGATTGTGGAGACTGAGGCTCAGATGGGGAGGGCCAAGATTGGTGGGTTTGGCGCCTGTGGATGATGTTGGTATATAGGTGGTGAGGGAGGATGCAGACTGAGCGCTTAGCATCGACGTCCAAATCGCTGAAATGTCGGCTAAGTGAAACACTCTATGCGAAACCGGCCGAGGGCCTGTGTATACTGAGTAAAAGAGGGTATGAAAAGGAAAGAGGGCAGGCGGCGGATCGCAAGTCGGAGATGTAGGTTGTTGTGGTCGGGGGGGGGGAGCCACCACACGAATGACAGCCAGCCACTGGCGCCTTCTCGCTATGCCAGGAAAAAAAGAGCAATAGCAAGCGGACGAGGGCTTTTGCGAGCAGATGGATTTAGATGCCTGATTCAAAACACGCCAGATTCTGAGGTGCATTATCGGGCTTATGCGATGATGCGCTCCCGTTGGCTGGCGGGGCCATCCACCAGAGAGGAGACTTCAGCTCCTTCATTTCCTCAGCCGTGCTCTCTCCATGACGGCAGACTATTGCCCTCGGGGGCATATGAGGCCATCGATGCCGCTAGCACTTACCTTAGAAGTGGCACCACGGATAGTTTGGGTCGCGCAGCAGCGGACGGGCCTGGTTCGTGTGCGAGTGCAAGAGAACGAGAAAGGGTGCGCATAGGGTTCAAAGAAGCCAAGCCATGGGCATGTTGTCCGCGGGAGGAGCTGAAAAGGTACGGTAAGTAGATCGCATCTCGCGAGATCCCAGGCTCCCCTGTCGTCGCTGGCCAACAGCATTCCAGATGCGATTCAAGGGAGCGCGCGGTTATGCTGGGGGCCGCCACACAGCGACGCTTAACTCGCGGGCCCCTGACACGATCGTCTCCTACGGACCAAGCGACCCACTCACAGCAGGTCGAGCGTCCACGAGGCGTTGCAACAGCGTGGTCGTCGGGTTTCTGGTCCTGGGCGTTGCTGAGGACACGGCATGGGTTATGTCGTGGGGGCTGTTTGCTTGCTTCTCTCCACCACGACCACCACCATTGGCATCACGGAGCCGGCTCCTCATACGGCTGCGACCCCGCTCCCGCCAACGGCGAGCCTCGCCCCAATCCCAAGGCCAGCCTAGACATGTAGGCAAAGCATATGGCCGTCACAAACGCCCGACAGTCAATAGTGTAGCGCTGGTTGCGGCACAGGTCTCACTGCTGGGCCGGGCATGGCCAGTCGTTAGCATCACCAGGCCGAGCTTCCCTTTGCATTGCATTGCGTTGCATACCTTGGAAGCGGAGCCTGTTACGTTGCCATGACGGCCATGAGAACCCTCGGTGCCGGCATCCATCAACCCTGTTTTGTTTGACTCTGCTATGCTGCAAACGCCCACATTCCGGGAACGGGTGCGCGCGTGTCATGCATAGCCTGTGTGTTGATTTGTTTTTTTTCTCTCTTTCGCACATGGACGAGTTTGGTACGCTGCAGGCACGTGGTCCACCTCACATCGTTCGTCCCTTGAACACATGTCAGTTGCATGCAGGGTCACTTGTCGAGCAAAGGTGTAAAAAGCAATAATGACGTGCCACGGCGGGCGTTGCCTAGCAATCTATATGACATTTGTAGCACATGGTTTCAAGCCCTGGTGCATTGACGGGTATATGCTTGACTGCATTTCCGATAATCGTCCGTCCGTGACAGGACTAGCCTCCCGAGTTTTACTGGAAACTCGTCTCCAGCAATGCCGGCTTGCGATCTTCAAGATCCAAAAGCATCTGTCCATAAAGTCCGTTCGCCCACGAGAACCATTGCCTTGACCAATCACTCGCGTTGAACGAGTTTACGCTTTCATGAATGAGCCCCAACCCGTCAGTGCTGCTAACGATTTGCCTCAACTCGTTTACAATCTCAGCATCGTCATTACTCGTCAGGATGCGTACAATAGATGCCATAGGCCACGCTTTACCTAATCCTACGTGTGGTCCGCCAATTGCGTTGATAACAGGCCCTCTCATGTAATAGGGGTTTGTTGCGCTGAGAAGCAACTTGCGCGTGTTGGCGTACGTCTCGTTATTGACCGGGTACTTGTAAAAGGGCGCAGAGAGAAGGCCCGGAATGTTAGCGTCGTCCATGATGGTGCGTCCACCATACCCGTCAACCTCAAACGCGTAGATTTTGCCGAAAGTCGGATGATCAACTGTCGCATGCTTTTCAATGCTATTGCGCAGTGACTCTGAGAGCGCAGACATTCTCTGCGCAAGCGCTTTGGTATTGGTGCCATTCAGCTTTCCCATAATCTCAGCAGTCGGCGCCAGGAACGAGCTAAACATCATGTTGGCAGGAATAAAGAGCTGGTAGATGGTAGAGTCGTCGCTAGGCCTAAATCCGCTCCGAATTAAGCCTGTACCATTGGCTACTGGATTTCCAATTCCATAGTTGGAAAACGTCTCGGTGGCTAGTACGTTTGAGCGCTGGAATGTATATGGACTTTCCAAAACAGCTCCGTCCGCACCATATGTAGGGAGCGTCATATCATCTGCTACATTGAGAAGGGATTCCACGGCCTGTACCCACTTAAATTTCCCAAAGAACTCAACGTCTCCTGTTGCCTGGTAGTAGTCGGCGGATATCTGCAAAAACGCTCCGAGCGAGTCGAGCTCATACTTGCATTCGAATACACTCTGATTGGAGTACGGAGGGAAAACTTTATCTGCATTCGCCCACTCGTTGCTGGCTGGAGGGATACCGCTTTCGGCAGGTGCCTGAAACGAGTTGCAATATGGAGATGTGAGCAGGTACCGCGCCTGCAAGTTGATGACACCGCGGTATAGACTTGCGATGGAATTGGCATCGCTGCTCGCGTTCAATAGCGGGAGGTAGCTCTGCATCTGGTTCGACGAATCGCGCAACCACATTGCATTGATGTCTCCAGTAATGACAAAAGTCAACTCCTCCTCTGCGTTGTCGGCAGCATATCCCTTCCACTTGATGGCCGTGTCGAGCGTATTGGGGTATGCATTCTGGAAAAGGCGGTATAGATCCGGATCCTTGATGACGTCCTTCATGCGGGTGATGAGGTCTTCAAGGCCTTGGGATTTAAAGGTTCGGCACTCTTCTGATGGCCGCTGGTAGGCAAGGCGGTACTTGCCTGAGCTTAGCGGCTCATGTACCTGTTTCGCGTAGTCGCTGTATTCTGGACATTGTGCTGAGACTAGCAAAGGCACGCTGGAAAGCGCACCGAGCAGCACTTGGTTGCGCATGTTGCAGTCAGGTAGCAAGACGGACTCACAGTATTAAGGAGGCGGAGTATGGAGCAAAGGCGCAACGAAGAGCAAGCGGGAGCCCGAAGCTGTACAATGATAGCCTACATGCACTTACATATGTACATAGCGACCTGGCCATGGTTGCATATTACCAGGATGTAACCCCCCCATATGTGCTTTGGCCACGCCGACGTCACTACGCTTATGGTCCGGATTGAAAGTGTCACCCGATAGGCAGAGATGGCAGATGGCACAAATGAAGAAGGTTCAAGACTACCGGTGGCTAGGAATCGGTGCATAGAACTCGTCAGATGACTAGATTGTGGGGAAGTAAGTGTCTGTATTGGTTCTTCCGGTTGCCAAAGCTGGGGTAGGGCAGCATTGGTTGGGACGATCGGCGGGGGGCGGTAGGCATGCCTGTCTTGGGCATGAGGTGACAAAGCTTGTCAAGCAGAAGAACATACTGTGGTGGTAGGGAAACGTTTTGTAGGTAACGTAGGGACACTAAAAACGATAGCCAGGCGCTTCTTTGGATGAATCCATCTCTAATCTATTAGAAAGAAACACCATGCTGTTCTGAATGAGTTCAACGGACAGTGAGCTCAACGGACGCTAAGCTATATGTAATATAGGTCTTACCGCCTCCCCCAGCCTGTGTTACCCCCAACCCATACCCAATTTTGGCCTAACACCAGAGTATAGCAGCGATGTAACTAAAATTTGGCATTGAGCATATGATAAACTCTTACACTTGCAAACGGGTTCATGATGTTCGGAAATGAGATTTACCTCTCGATACAAAGATACTCGGCAATTGAGGGGAGGCAACCGCAAGGCGTTAGCGTGAGGGGATCCCGGGCAACCTTGTAAGAACGCTTTCCTTTCCTTTTCATTGGGAGCTTTTTTGGATAGCCCAAGCTGCACTATTCCTCTTGATGTAACGACTATCCGATAGTCTATATGTTAGCCTAGAGGCTAGATCTTAAGTCAAGGCTGGGATGTGCGGAGTGCAAGTAGTAGATGGGTCGAGCTATGTCATACCACGTCGGACCAACTCCGGCTGCAGTCTCCGGGAGACCTTTGTGGGACTAGGGGGAACAATAGAGCAGAATTTTTTTTGAACTAACATACCAGTATATGTGCAAATCAGGTACGGAGCATCCACTTCCAGTGTAACATGGCGGCACAAAAAGATGACCCGAAAAGTGTAACCAAGGCCGGCCCGGTTATGAAGAACTACCGCAGGTGTAGTGTAACGTGTAGTCTCCGCAGAATCGATTCCGCACTTTGGTCTTGCCTCTTATTATACATTCAACGAGAGGGACACGTCTAGAAATTTGTGTTTTTCCTTGTTCGCAAAAAGTGGACGATTGTTGTTTTACTTTGCGAGCGAAATATTTGATAAATGCTGGTATACGCGACCATCTTCTAGCGCGTGATTCGGTAATTCCTCATCGCACTACAGGGACGCTTTGGAGAATTTCGCAACACCTAGAACATCTCGATACTCTATAGTGGACCTATGTGTCAGGCTGTTTGGGGTAAGGGAGATGTAGATAATCTGCAGGGTCTGCGTCCTACACGTGTAATGCTTGTTATTTTGGTCCAATGTTGGAAGCATCTGCAATGCGGTGGACCATGCAGCATGTTGTCTAACATGGCTGGCGGCCGGTAGCTGTCAGAGAGACTATGGAAGATGCGAGCAATCATGATAAGATTTTTCAATTCGAAGAAATATAGTTGAGATTTGATAAAGCTACGACTACACTCTGATGCTCCTCAAATTGCTTTGAAGAGCATGCAAGGATCCGGTGGACCTGTGTCAAAACCCGAACATCTCGTTTCCACTTGCAAGGAATATGGAAAAGATCGGGGTTTATCGAATAATAACTGTTCAATGACAAGTTGAACTAACATTAGAATGGCTAGTGCTGCTAGAGCAACGGACACGTGGAGGTGTGGGTCATTGTAATGCACTTCACCATGCTAGTTGTAGCCAAGGCAAGGGGCATCCCTATAGTTTGACGACCTACAAGCGAACATCACCACAACTGCAGCATAATTACAAGAAAAGAAAAATCCGACCTGGATTGCATGGCCCGATGATGTAATCGGGCTGAAGTTGAAACTCCTACAACACTCAGTCGCGGTTTCTATATACCACCACCACATCCCCACTTCATGGTCCGTCGCTCGAGGAGGAGCGTCCGCATCTGTATTCGGGTGAGCTCTTCCCCCTAGGACCTAAAACACTATCGTAACCGCTCGTGAAAACCTTAATCACATTGGTCGGCAGCATCGCACTTGCTTCTCCGCGGCTGATACTCGAACAGTGCGAAAAGCAGGGCAAACCCGCAGACTCGATGCAGATTCTTGTATCGAGTCCGTACTACCTTTTATTCGTACTGGAAGGTGCGTGTAAGCACCGAAAATTTCTCGAAATAATCACATTCCGTGCGCCTTCGGGTCGTAGCATCGTGCATTCTTGGTCGTGTTTGAATGTTTGGCCAGGATGGCTGTTACGATGGCATATGGTGATGACATCGTATCTTATCTGACTGCATCACTGTGCAGAAAGTTGCTTTGTTTGTGCATCATCCATAAGTGGTGTTGCTGGCGCTACTAGGGTCAGCATGGGGACATGATGAAAGGTGAAAGTGGACAGGGCTCACCTTGGGCTCATAGGTGCATGGGCATGTTGTTGTTGTGAATAGTTTACGCCCTTCATCATTCCAAATTGGGGAAGTTTGGACCAGTTGCGCTCTCTGACTTCGCGCATGTAGGCATCTTGCTCGGGCGAGCGGTTGTAAAGAGAAGCCTCGGAATCAGGGTCTTTGCCATAGAATCGAAAAATGGCAAAGCCGCAGCATACAAGGCCACCAGCGCCGAGGATGACGAGGAAGATGATGAGAGCAGGGGCGAGTTGGAAGCCCATGTTGTCTCTCTTTTGGAGGATAGTAGAGGGTGGGGCGAATGGAGGCATGATGATGATGGTTGTGGTGTAGTGCAAGTGGGCTAGTGTAATAGCGGGGTACAGTAGATGCAAAGTAGTCGATGGTCGGGGCTGGGGGAGCGATTGAAATTATGACGAGGAGAGGACAGTGAGTGAATGAAAAAGAGAGTGTTTGGATGAAAGATGTTTTGTGAATGGCGACGGCCTGGTGGGGCGGAAGTGCCGGAAGATGCTGGAGGGTGCGAATGGACGAAAGCGAGGGAGCCAATCGTATTATGCTTACGATTACCGAACACGATGATGAGGTGATGTGGCCACCGTCACACCAAGCCAGCAAGAACAATAGAGAAGCCGTGGAGAGTGAGTAGTGGGAGGGATGGATGCCTTGGCACAGTCTGCTTTGGGTGCCTTGGTGTAGCTATATACTCGAGCCCGTCGTCCGCGCTGACAGCTGCGCCCGCCTGCTTGCTCAACCTCTTGTCTTGTCGATGCTGCAAGCTTTTCTTGCCAAACCGCCGTACGTCGTATGTAATGGGCTGCGTCGGCCTCGAAGTCTTAGGTCGTGTCGATCGCCTCCCATTGGCTGGGCCCGGGTTTCGCCCGCCGCAACTGGCTTATCCTTCCCCACCCGGTCGACGTTGAGATGCGTCGTCCGAAGCTGTTGGCGTCCCAAGAACGCGTAATTCACCCACCCTCCTTCACACCACCACCCCAGGCCGGCTTACTATGGAACATACAAATAACACTCGCACGGAGCAAAACCGTCCCCGGACACTCATCACGCCCAGCCCGTAGTACTCTCGGCCGAGGCGCAGTCTGCCTTAACCATCCGGCAGCCCTTCTGCTGTGAAGCCTTGCGAGTCCTGCCGATTGCTCGGTCTCACCCTCTCCTTTTCTTTTTCCCCCAGGTCCGCCTGTTCTCATTGTCGCTGATTGGGCTTGCCGGTGGTTCTGCTGTTCGTCCGCCTCAGTGGCTTTCTTGGGTCCGCCCTGGCATGACGCGTCATCCCCACCACATTTTTCACTCTCTCCGAGCTTCAAAAATAGCTGCCGCCCACCACCAGCATAAACATTCTCGAACCCGCTGTTGACCGCGCATACCAGCCATCGCTCCACTCCCCGGCCTCCAAAATGACGATGCGACACGAAATGACGCAACCAATTGCCCGTGACGCTCCCGATGCGTGTCGTTCGTCGATCGCGGGTATCGGTCAGCACTCACCCGCGCGGTCCTAGCGCGTTCATATGCAACTTATTCTCTGCCTGTCCCGTCGTTGTGCTTGCTATCAACCTCCAAGTATCTAGTAGTAGCCGCGTCCTAGGCGTTGCGACATGACACGATATCATATGACCCCCACAACCTGTCCACACCCTGTGTTTGCGGTACCGAAGAGCACCATGCTTTTTTGTGCAGGCAGGTACCAGCTGTTGAGCACACTGGATCCATGGCCCTACACAATCCTTCTCTTGTCATATCGCCATTTCAGCACATGGTGCAGCTGCTGAGACCAAACTTCTTCAACCTTGACTTTGCCGATGCAAGACTGTTATTTGCCCACTTGATACATGATACCCTTGGCGCCGAACGAGAGTATGTCCGTTCATACATGCACATGTATGTACGTAGTAGGTCCGTCATTTCAGGGCTGATACAAAGCACGTGCGGAAGCTACTCTTTGTGTGGATCCAAAGGCTGCGTACTGAACATGGGGACAAATAGGAGCTCAATCGCCCTACTACTCACTCATCGGAACCAGCGACACCTTTGTAATAAATACTTCGCCAACAACCACGTAGTCATTTTCCATTTGCTATATTTGTGGTTCTTACCTATAGCAAGAGAGAAAAATGTGGATACCAACGTTTGGAAACACGACGTTACTACGGCGCGTTCTGGGCTCTTGGACTTAATCTGCAGCATTTCGCGTTACAAGGCAGCCATCCAATCAACGCAAAAGACTTGCCCAGCAGAGCAGAGGATAGCGCTGAAAGCTTCTCAAAACTTCTCAAAAAGCCTTTGGGAGCGTTGGCGGCATGCGGCCTGCGATGTTTTTAAGCTGCGAAGTTCCCAGGCAACATAACTACCCAACACCATACACATGCATCAACCACAGCTACCTTTGGACACGTCAAACTATACGAATACTTACTTCCGAGACAAAGCTGCAATGTCAGTGTTTTGAATCATGAACCTAGAACTCATAACAGCCTTCTTCAAGTCCGACGCTACGAGAAATTCGCCGAACACAGTGTGCCATTTCGGGCAGAAGGTGCTTGACGTCAAGATTCCTAATTCAGACCCTCCCCAATCTGTTTGCCTTGGGGTTGTTTCGACCATCTGCAGGCTCAGCCTCGTGGCACTTTGATGTTGTGCGAATGTGGTTGAAGTTCGGTTCAGCGGTCCGCGCCTCTAATCTATTCAAATTAACCTCTACAAGGATCCACACGCTATCGGACATAACGTGCTAGCACGAAAACCATTCAAGATCATCGTGCTAATGCTGCGAGAAATACCTTCCATGCTCGTGGATTAGAATCTTACTGCATGCCGGGGAACGGTAGTGCAACAGCTGACTGCCGTGCATCGGCTGTTGACATCAGAGATGGTTTTCTGCGGTTGTACTGAAAGTGACGGATTGCGACTGTTGACCACCAGCGCAACCATTGACCACGGGTTTGGCCGTGAGTCTACCGAGACGGATTGTAAATTCATGCGGCCAAGATCCTTCCGTGGATGGCCCGAAAGCGTTTCCACTGTTTGAACTCATGGAAATGGCATGTTCCACTATAGACTCAATGAGGCTGCCATATGGCTGGTGACCTCGCGAGTAGGCGCCATGCCCCTAGCCGAGAATATATTGCCTAGCACCAACGTGTAGGAGAATATTGCACCAGCGATATTAATTCAGGCCCCGTTTTTACACACCTGGCCTATCACAGCGATAAAGCCCAGTCACAGGACTGGAATCTCAACGTTCAACCACGTTCTAAGAGCGTGGCGACAAGGGGGACCTTTCCACAACCGGATGGCCCACAATTCAGAAGCCGGGGAGACAGGTACTTCGAAATGAATCTTTTGATTGCAAGGCGTACGGGAAACCTGGTCGAAGGTAGGTAGAGGCGTTGAAAGAATGACGCTAGAAGAATGGCGACGAGTATATGAAGAAGAAGGAATCCAGCCTCAAGGTCTTGCTCATCAGAGACTTCCCAGCAACAGCCTCTTCACTTCCACTCTCTTCTCTACATCGTTTGAAACGATCGTTTTCACTCCACCTTATCAAACATCATCACCATGCTCTCCCTCCTCGTTCTTCTTGCGCCCCTTGTGGCAGCCCACGGTCACGTTGACAAGGTCCTCGCCGATGGCAAGGAATACCAGGGTTGGAACGCTGCTCTCAAGTACCAGAACCCAATTCCTGCCACTGTTGGCTGGCAAGCCGACAACCTCGACAACGGCTTCGTCTCTCCCGATGCCTTTGGTACCTCTGCCATTGTCTGCCACAAGCAGGGCAAGAGCAACGGTGCCTACGTAACCGTCAAGCCAGGCAGCAAGGTCACCTTCAAGTGGGATACCTGGCCAGTCAGCCACGTCGGTCCTGTCCAAGAGTACATTGCTCCTTGCAACGGCGACTGTGGCTCCGTCGACCCTTCCAGCCTTCAGTGGACCAAGATTTCATCCAAGGCCTGGAAGTCGGGCAGCAACCCCGGCAAGTGGGCTACTGATGACCTGATTGCCAACAACTTCTCCTGGGACATTACCTTCCCCAACGTTGCCCCCGGCAACTACGTCGTTCGCCACGAGATCATCGCACTGCACGCGGCCGGCCAGACCAACGGCGCCCAGTCATACCCCCAGTGCATCAACTTCAAGGTTGAGGGCTCTGGAACCGCAAAGCTCAGCGGTGGCACTCCCGCTACCAGCTTCTACACTGTAAGATTCGACATGCCCTTCGCCCGGTTGACATATCAGAGACACTGCTAACACAAGATAATAGGCCAACGACCCTGGTATCAAGTTCAACGTCTTCACTTCCTTCTCCAGCTACCCCGTTCCCGGCCCTGCCGTCAAGTCTCTGACCAAGAGGCACGCCAAGGACCTCAAGTACTAGACCGCCTCTCTATGCAGTTGCAGGAGAAAAAACAAAGCCACTGCATAACCTGCGTCGCGAGTTGATTGAAGGGCAAGCCGGATAAAGTCACCGTAGCGTGGAGCTATCCCAATCGCTTAAGTCCTCGTGGAGAACGCCCAACTCCCTGTCTTTGTCTTCACCTTCTTTTTTAAAAGACAAAAACTACTGTAAATAACGAATACTTTTGGAGGAGAGAGGAAAGCCGATTCTTGTACATATTACTTTAGGCATAGACATGAAATACCACATATCGCATGTTTGCATCGATTTTTTACCATTTCCCACCCCCTTTTTTTTTGCTTTTCCCTTTTTACCCGAAACAATTTAACACTACACTTAAGACAACGTCATGGCATAACTGTGGGGTTTGACACGACGCCGAGCACGAAGCAAGGAAAATCCTCATACGCGCGACATTCACAGCAGAAGAATATGAAACAAAGGCACCGCGTATGTGCTTTGGCTCCTCGGAGAAAATTTCTCTTCCCTCGTTCTTCCAGCATCTTCGATCTCCTTGCGCTAATGGTGCGTACGTCGTAAGTACGTGTGTTCTTGCCGTCTAGCCAAACGTGAAACTTGCCCCCTCCCCCTCCCCTCTTTCTCTCCGCTTTTTTTTTACCCGCTGTACCTACGCTACTGTCTCGAAGCTCTTCGGTGGACATTGTCGGCTCTTTTGTTCTTTTCTTCCCCACTTTCTCGTGCGCAGCGTTCGCGCGATCTTGTATATATCCTTGCTTCTTAGTATGCGTATGATATACGCGCGATGCGTGTGCGATGCCCCCTCCGAGTGGAAGGGCATATGTGAGGATGTGTGCATATGCGCGTGCGTGAATTTCTTGGCTGCGGGGTGAATGGGGGTCTGGATTTGGCTGGGTCTTTGTGCATGGGGTGTGGTGGTGATGGTGATGGTGCAGTGTGTGGCATGCTGGTTGGTGATTGGTTAGTGGCTCTGGCGGAGTGCATGTCTCTGTAATCTGGGGTTTGGATTCATCTGCCGGTGGAATAAGAGAGAAGCGTTATGGAAGTAAGTATCCTGGACACGCTAAGCTAGTTTCTACTGGTTGCTCTTGGTCTAGTTCTTCTTTGTGGAGATGCAGCTGTTGGATGATTTCCTTCATATTGTGTAGACTGCTCATACAGTGTTGAACGCATTTTTTGTCTGCTGACGCCCTTGGCGTGCTTACAAATTCCTAGACTTCTTGAAATATATCGCACATCGCATATCTATGTTCTCGTTCATACTAGTTATACTACCCTCTCTTTCATGGGGTAGTTTTTTGACATTGGATCATTTTCGCTGATATCGCTGTTTTGTAGGAGAGCACGTTTTGATGACTACACGTGATCGTTTCTGAAGAAGGGATCATAAGAACATATACAATAAAGGCATACACATGACATCTTCTAGTCATGTGACCTTCGTATTCGACGGAGCGCCACGGAGGCCTCGAGGCTCACTTACTTCGAGGAGCCTGGAAGCGGATGCTCTAGACTAGTAGGCAGTTTGGTATTGAGTGCGACAAGAAGAGTCTGCAAGATAGCTCTGTTCCTCCACAGTTTGCTCGGTTTTAGTTCTACTCTTCGAACTCCGTCTTTACTATGCGCTTATTTTTGCTAATAGAATTTGCTTGTCCCTTCTTCTCTCGTACTACATGAGATGCAATACGTCGTTGAAATTTCATAGTCTCTCTGCTCTGCCATCCAATGTGTCCATTCAACGACCCGTAGAACCTTCTTCGTAGTGCGGCAATCCTGCGAACTCAAGTTCCAGCTTGTGGCGTTCCGGGGTTCTCGACACATGGCCCGTGCACGCTTACTCAAGCAAAGCCAAAGTGACCTTTGCTATCCCTCATCACAACACGCCTCCCTCACTACACGCCCACTCCAAGCCGCACGACACACGACACCACTATGACTTCGTCCATTTTCTATAAATTCAAAAATTCCAGAGACAGTGAGCGCATAATCTTCAATGGCACCGATCTGAGCGTCTTCGAACTGAAGAAGGAGATCATCAGCGCGAGCGGCCTGGGCGATGGAACCGACTTCAACCTTCACATCTTCCCGCAAGATGATCCAGCTTCAGAATACAAGGATGATACTACACTGATACCACGATCCTCCACCGTAATCGCGATACGGCGCCCTGCTCCGAAGGGACAAGGCAGGGCAGCACGCTATGTCACAGGCAAGGCGCCGTCACGCGCAATCACTACACAAACCAAGCCTGCGGCCCCTCTACCTCAAGCGAACAATGCCACACCAGAAGATGCCGAGGCAGCTTTCTTGGCAGAGTCAGCCATGGCTTGGGATGCCCAGAAAGAGGCTCTTTCACACGCGAAGCCGGTCTATCGCAAGAACAACACCAAGAATGTGGTCGTCCCGTCGCACCCACCACCACCGGGTTACGTCTGCCGCCGCTGTAACATCAAAGGCCACTGGATACAGGCCTGCCCCACCAACGACGACCCCGACTTTAAACCCGCTTTTCAAGCCAAGCGCACCACTGGTATACCACAGTCCTTCCTGAAGAAGGTTGAGAAGCCTGTCGATGAGGAAGCTGCAAAGGGCATTATGCTCAACGCAGATGGAGAATATGTACAGGTTATGACAGATACAAAGGCTTGGGACAAGTTTCAAGAGAAGACAAATGCATCACGTGCGCGCGCAGCGAGTGCTGATGCCGCCAGCAAGGAGCTCCGCGAACGTGGACTTGAATGCCCAATCGACAACCAAAGATTTGTTGACCCTGTCAAGACTCCATGTTGTGGTAAGACATACTGCCGTGAGTGCATCGACAATGCGCTTGCAGATGGTGATTTAGTTTGCCCCAACTGTGCAAAGGAGGATGTTTTGATGGATGATCTCATTGCCGACGATGATATGGTCAAGTCTCTCAAGGCATACGACGCAGAGAAGGCAGCAGAGAAGGAGAAGGCAGCAAAGGCAGCAGTTGCTTCAACAAATGAATCAGTTTCTCAATCCCATGCTACTGACAACGCTAATTCTCCCGTCGCAAATGACACTACAAATACTACTAGTGCCACTAGTGCTTCTGTTGCGGCAGTGGCGGACGAAGTCTCCGATACTGACTCTACTTCTTCTAAAAAGCGCAAAGAGCCGCCGACAGATATCAAGCCACCAACCGCACCAAAAGCAATGCGTCAAGCAGCCGACCCCGCGTCGAAGATGGAACAGGAATTTATTCAGCAAATGGAAATGCTCAAAAACGCACCAATGGAGCCAATGGGCATGCCAATGAACATGCCGATGCCTATGCCGATGCCAATGCCAATGCCCATGCAGATGCCAAACCAAATGGGCTTCCAAAATGGCTACCAGATGGGGTTTCCACAGCAACACCAACAACAAGGGCCGCAACAAGGGTGGTTTCCCCAGCAGAACTTTGGGTATGGTCAACAGCAACAGTATGGTCAGCAGTTCGGCCAGCAACAGCAGTATGGATGGGGTGGAGGACAAATGCAAGGGCAATGGGGCGGTGCGCAGGGACAGCAGGATAATGATGCATATGATAGGCAACCAGTTAATCCTCGAGGTCGCAATCGCAGATCTCGTGCTCCAGATTATCGCTACCTGTGAGCGTTTTCTTGGTATCATGCAGTGTTTTTGTGGACATTCATCAATTGGGAATGCTGGGCTTTGCATACCCATTTCCGTTACATATATTTCAATCACGGTGGGAGGAAACAGCGGGTCTTTACGGTATTGGGGGTGGTGATCGTTGTCTTCGGCGTTTGGTGGGCCACTATTATCCAACACGATTGTCACTGGGCTTGGACAGCTCATGTGCCTGAGTGAATGACTTTATTGTTATTCGTAAAACGGACTATGAATCAATGCTTACTCGGATTATTGTACATAAATTGCTGTTTGTAAAGGAATTAGACATGTTTTTTCATGATAACTTGCTGAGTGTGATGCTGGAACGTGTGCAATGTGAGACAAAGGCAAGTTCACCGCTCAGTTTGCGGCAACGGAAGCTGTTTGTTTTTGACGCGATTCCGATAGGATCATCGTATCTCCGAACTGCTCTTTGCAGCTTTGGTAGAATAAACAAAAAATCACCCCCGAACGTTGCTAGGGACGGGGACTGGCAACGCGCGGGGCCGAATCTACGGAAAAGGCGGATGAGACCAAAAGAGGAACTTGAACTCCGGGATTATCAACGAACCACATGCAATCTCACAATAGTCTGGCACATAATAGGTTAACAAGAAATATTGGGTCTCCCCTAGTCCTTATTACTTACTCACAACATACTCTTTCTTGACTAAATGACTATTGCATTAGACAGCAAGATATCATTATTGCGCGTGGGAAAGCTAACTTTTCTTCAGACTCAAATGGCCCTGAACATTAGTTTGATTGTTTCTTCCCGAACTAGGTACCTACACACACATCTTCAGTGTTTATCTGGATGGTAGGAAATATATATTACCGTAGTAGTTTGCAGCCAATCACAAACGGATGCAACCCCTCCATCCCCGCAGTCTCGCGACTGCCACTGCCACTGTCTGACATACATTTCGTATTTCACGTATAACTATATATCATGTCGCTTCGGTCAGCCTTTTATTCTTTTGCGCCTGAGAATTAGAGTATCCATATAAAAGTGAACGTGGCGTTGGAAACATTTAACCCTCAAGCCTTCCAACTCCCACACCAAATGGCGGAAGCAACGCCGTTTGTACGACCATATGACCCATCCCGTGACTTCCAGCATGGCATGCACGTGGTATATATACATTCGCAACAACCAACTCACCCACTGACATGTACTAACAGCACTACTCCTGCAGTACCTCTCAACCATCGACCCAGTTCTCGACTGGGAACCCGCACGCACCATAGGCTCGCACCTATGGTACAGACCCTATGTCTCCCTGACACCAGAAACATGTTTCGTGCTTGACGACGGCAACGGGCGCGTAGTCGGTTACTGCATCGGCACAGCAGACACGCTATCTTTTGCGGCGCGCTGGCGCGAAGAGTTTGCTCCAGGTGTAGACCGCACGCTTGTTCCTCCTCCTGATGTACACGTTGATGGTGACGATGACGTTGCGTCGCCCATGGAAAAAGAAGATATTAGGTATTTTCGGAAAGCGGTGTATGAGGCTGATTGTAGTATGTTGCAGCCGTGGCCAGAGGTTTTACGCCAGTACCCGGCGCATATTCATATTGATATATTGAAGGAGTATCAGCGGAAGGGGTGGGGGACTGTGCTGATGAAGAGCTTCTTTGATAAGGCTAGGGAGCTGGGGTCGAATGGGGTGCATTTGGATATGGTGCAGTCGAATGTAAAGGCTCGGGCGTTTTACGAACGTATCGGGTTTAGTCTTTGCCAGCAGGTGTTGGATGGAGGAGAGAGTGGCGGGCCTGGTGTGAATGGTATCGTGGTGACTTTGGTCAAGAATCTTTAAGGTTAAGGGATACAATTGAATGTTATTGATGACGCATACACACCTACCCTTTTCCTTCTCCGTGATCGCTGTTACCGTCTTTGCTGGCATAGTTATTCAATGGTACATGATGAGTTGGATACAAATAATGTCCTCTGACAGCAAGACAACAGTACTTTATGAGTAACGTGGTTAATAACACATCGTTGGCCATCTATTATATTAACCTCCCGATGAAATGCACGGATTTCCTCTAATCTCATACTACGCATTCTTTCCATCTCTGAGCGGATGTCATTTCCGTACATACATATCTCCACACCACGTGCAGAGTAGCCTGCTACGGCATTACCTTTTATAAATTGGCTACATACACTCAACAACAAACATCATCATCTAGCAATACTCTAGCCACTGACACTGCACAGGGTCAGACCTCAAATTCAGCGGAGCGGTTCATTGCCTTCCCGCTAAGTTCCGCAAGCAAGAAAGCCTACCCAACCGTTTTCACTCTCCCCCACATCGGCCGGGAACTACGTCCACAAGAACCCATTCACGCACGAAACTTATCAAGAGCTGAGTCTTCTATCACCAAGAACAACAACTACAGCCTCTACACTGACGGTTCCTCGGTAACCAGCACAAACACCGACGTAAACCCGGAATACAGCATCTCCACTCTCCTCCAAAAACTAACCACATTCTTCATAAACTTCTTTCCCCGCTCCCACACGACCAGTGTCCCCAACCACCCCGGCACTCCCTCAAACCACCCCCATGAACCCCCTTTCCCCCCTTTCCTCCTCCCCTACACCCCCGCACCCTCGCCATACCCATCCTCTCTTTGCTCCTCCAGCTCCGAAAGCGATAAAGACCCCACCCGCCAAAAACAGAAGCAAAAGCTCAAGCGAAAAAGGTGCTGGGTAGGTCGCCCCCGAGGCGCGGTTTTACGGCCGAGAGATCGATATTACGCACGCGGACTGTGCGATAAACATGGGAATGAAGTGCTGTTTTTGGAGAATATGCGGATTCATTGCGGGAAGAAGGGGGAGCAGGGGGAGAGGTGGTATGCATGGAGGTGTGGGTGAGAGAGTTTGTGAGGGGGCGGATATGGATGTGGATGTAGAGTGGTAGGTATGGGTTTGAGAGAGATGGATGGGAAGGAAGAAAGATGTGGGAAATGGTTAAAAAGGGTGACGAGGAAGAATTACAATGCTCCATGTTTGAGTGGTAATCGATTCTATTTCTTCTTTTGCTTTTCATCGATTGATGCATATGTACCTGTGATGAAATAACTGCAGTGCCAGAATGTATTTTTCTTTCTTTCTTTCTTTCTTTCTTTCTTTCTTTCCTACAACAGCGATTTCCCCTTTTGCCTGAACGTCTTTTTTTTTGAATTCTTGCTATTACATGTTTTGATTCCTACTACCCAAGGTGTTAGCCGCGCCCCAACTTAAAAAAAAGATTACACGGCGTTGCGGTCGCTGCCGAAGAATTCATCTATTGTGAGGGTTTTTTTCTTTTTTTAAAAAAAGAGTCGACCTTCGAGAAGGGCAAAAGCGAAAGGTCAGTAATACCCTTATCCTTGTTAGGAGAAGGCTCTCTTATCGGATTTATGCTTATGAATGAGCTCAGTAGACTAGATGTCGTAGTGAAGACTGAGCTGGAACATGAATTTCCGGTTTCGCCTAGAGAGGAGAAAACATCGGGCAACATCAGCACTAGCTGTTCATTACGTTATACATAAGTATGTAAGCGCTAGTTAATAAAAACGGTACGATGTCTGGATAAGCTCTTACTCTTGTTAGGACTAAAGATGTCTTGGATTGAAGTTGGCGGTTAGCTATAGTGACATCAGGCTTTCTAGGTTTGCCTTGGAGTTAAAGGTGAGGGCACAACGCTGTAGTACGGTACAGTACTTACCGTAAGTAAGCTTTGGGCCGGTTAAAATACGGGAAGAGGAAGGGTGCACGCTAGCCTTTGCCTGTGGTCACTTGCTTAATCTCTGTGGTGCTATTTCTGGGACTGCAATTGGAAATCAGATCCACTTTGTAAGATGGGGGTGGGACGTTGGATACGAATGATGTGAACGAGACTCTCTCTAGGCTCTCTAGGATTTCCAAGGGCTCTGGGTATAAGAAGAACTACTTAATCACGTTACGTGCATTTCTATAAACCGTTCATCCGATCACATGTCTTCTACATTATACTTAGATAGCTTTGTGTTAACGCGTCTGCTAATACCAACGTACTACTTCGTGCTTATGTAGCACAGGTAACTGGCGCTTACTTAACAGGGGTAATTGTGCTTGTGCTGAATAGATTTATGTAATGAGGTGAGGACTAAACGCGATTGTGATTACATTTGGATCCAGGCCTTCTTAATACGTTTAAGCAACCGTACCAGACGAGCGGAAGGTGAATATGGCAGTTCCGAGGGTTCATATCTTAGTGTAGCAAGCCAAAAGTTGCTAGGTAAGAGACTAATGATATAAATACTCTCTCTGCCTTTATTCCAAGTCCAAGGAGCGATAAATCATTCTACACCTCTTGATCTTAATCTTACTCTTTTCCTCTCATCTTCGCATTCCTCGGATCAAACAAGATGCGCTTCCTTCTTGCTTTGGCATTCAGCCTGACTATTGGTAGTGTATCTGCCAAGCTTGTATGTGATACCCGATGGTTGAAAGGTCTAGGAGGTAAGAACAAACCATCTGCTATTATTTTGTCGAGGGGATTGTTCGCTCAACGTAATATAGGAGAGTGTAAGAATGACTGGGATTGCTGTCCATGTGACTCTGGTTCCAATGGATTTTTAACTTGTAAAGGTAAGCACAATTAATTGTTACGTGATCAGGTACTCGAATCAAGTCCTCTAACAGATGATAGCCGACAAGAGCTCTACCACAGGTAGCCGGTGTAAGATTGACAGATACATTCCAGAATGCGTGTAGAAGGTGGAAACAGTTGTCATTGGCTCATTGGATGCTGTGATATTCGTGGATGCTTCATGGGATCAATATACCCGACTAGTAATGTTCCACAATGCGCATAGCGTAGAAGTTGAAAACAGCTGTTGGTAGCCTGCCAGATGCTATAAAATCAATAGAGACGCCATAAGACTGTACTCGGCTAGTTACTGTTCTTTGCATCCCAATCTCTCGTATTTCCCTTGACAAGAGTTTAGCTATTTCGCAGTTCAAGGAAGGTGTACACTAGTTTGGACAGTTTCCATGCGATCTGTGACGACATGTTCCTGCAAGAATCTGGTAACTTTTGACTAAACTATACTTTGGTAATCAATATATTACTACCGTGTGTATGTTATTATTGACTAAACCTATCTAGACAAGATTCCAAGTAGGCCATCTAATAGCGCACGTTGAAGCCGCTCTCATCAGACTTTGTGGCAATGTCGGAGTGGTCGACTTTGGAGACGGATGAGGCTGGTGGGCCCTTGTGCAAGTGGTGGATGAAGTCGTTGAGCTTGTCGTCGGTGGCCTGAGCTTCGCCCTGGACCTGAAGAGGGTTAGTGGGGGGAGAGGTACAAGGACTTATGGTGTGGCGGCCATGGCAATGGCATTGTGAGTGCATACGCTTCCGTCTGATGCATTGGTTACGAAGCCCGTCACACCCAGACTCCGGGCGGCCTTCTGGGTGAAGGACCTGAAATTGACGCCCTGTACACGGCCCTCGACCTTGTACTGGATCTGTGCAAAGTGATTAGCTTCTGCCACGACAGCAGCCACTTGGCATGACAGCGACGGACGTGACGCACTCGCTTGGCCGTCATTATGGGTTAATGTGTTTTGCTTGGATGGGGGGCGGCGAGGGGCACGGCAGCGCTTCAAGCACAGTGCAACGAGTCGGATGCTATAGGCAGGGAGAAGAGCACAGCTATGCAACAAGAGACACGACGAGTGCGAGGGCCAGTCAGTCAGTCAGCCAGTCAGTCAAGCCACGGGCTCGGCGGTGATGCCATGGGCCAGGCGCGGTACAGCGGGGCAACGTCATGGCAAGCTGGCGAAACCTAGACGCTACTGCTACAGCTGCTGGTACTGCTTACTTACTGCTACCAGAGCGGCGTTGGGGGAGGCACCCCTGCCATGTCGCGGATGGTGTGCGGGTGCGGGGCCAGCGTGAGAGCGAGAGGTGCTTTTGCTGGGAAGATCAGATGGATGCAGATGCAGAGAGGGAGCTAGGAGGGCAGCCTCAGCCGCAGCAAGGGGTCGGCGCGGGTCAACGGGCGAATTTCTTTTTTTGCCCACATGTCCAAAGTAAGTAAACTATGTACAGTCAGCTTGTGTACCTCGCAACCGCAATGTGTTCACGGCTGCCGGAAATTACTCGCCGCGAGGGAGCGCCGGGCGGTGGTGACGCTAGTCTCGCGTTGTTCTCGGATACAATCTCGCGTCGCTCCCCAGTTGATGAAACCTCTAATCAAACGCCCCCCCTTTCGCCCCAGAGCCACATAGCAACAACCGCACTTTGCCCAGGTGGCTCCGCAAACAACTGCGAGTCCTTGAAAACCGCCCTCACGCTCCGTAAATGCCGAGGATTCGTACAAAGCACCGAATCTCTCTGCTGATAAGGAGTCTGACGACTGCCACGGCTTTGCACCTGCCCCCCCTGTCAACCACCATGGACACAACATCCACCTCGCCGCCCCAACGCTCCACGTCGCCCGACCCTTGGGCTACGCCCTCTCTCGCCATCGGCGCCATACCGCCCCTCGACCGCTCCGTCTCGACCGCTTCGTCCGTCTCGTCGGTTTCCGGACGCTCGGCAGGCTCCCGGCTGTCCGATGGCGGCAGGCGGCGTGGATACATGAGGCCCGAGGGCACTGAGTTCTCCGAGTCTGCAAAGAGCAGAGAGAGCGTCATGAACCTCGGCACTATTGCCCATCTACAATACTACTTTGCTAGAACTGGTCTGCTCGACACCGCCACGGGACGAATAGCAAAAGGTCGCAAGCCCGGGTCGCGAACAGTGAGCGGCAACGAGCCACTCTCCCCGGGACTCGATGCAGAGTTTGGTATATTATCGCCTGGATCACCAATGAGTGAGCATCACATGGGCGAGGGCTTCGTTGAGTCGCCGCTCGACGAGACGCCCTCCATGACCTGGGAGGACCCTGAGCCCATGATGCTCCCACCTACCGTTAGCACATACAAGAACAACCCCATCTACGTACCCCCGCCACCTGATATGACAGTACTTCGCCGCGAACTACGCGAGTCGCTCGCCGAATCCATGAAACATCTGCACGAGCTCGAGAAGGGCTTCTCGGATATTCAGCCAGACGGAAAGACAGCAAAGAACGGTGGTGCTGATGCGTCGGGGTGGCACGAAGTTCAGGGCCTGAACTTGCTCGATGTCACGACGCTGGCCATCAGGGCTGCCAAAAACTACTACACTGCACACGAAGAGCCACAGCGACTTTACGCCATCAAGTCAGAACGCGAGATTCGCAAGGAGCTGTACGATACACTCGAGGTACTGAAGCGCCTGGCCATTCGCAACTTTGGAAACGGCGTTCAGCCATACGAAGTAACTCAACTCAAGCAGTGGGTTGACGACATCAGCGCGCTTCTAGATACGGAAGAAGAGAAGGAACGTGAAGAGCAAGAGGCACGTGAAACATGGTCGTGGCGCGACGGTGACTGGACGGGCAAGGAGCGGGAGCGCGAAGTTCTCTTTCTCCGATCGTTTGACGAGACGAGTGCCGAAGCCCTTCCAGAGTGGACAGCCTCTACAGATTCGGAACTCCCGACGCCCTTCCTTGCTACACTCCAAGACGGACTAAGACTGGTGCGCCTGCACAACACGCTAGTGCGAAGATCGAAACGACACTTTGAGCAGATCAAGACATATCACACGGACACAACGAAGCCATACCGCTGTGCTGACAACCTGCGCTATTGGGTCAAAGCGGCAGAGCTGCGCTGGGACATTAAGCTCGATGTCGACGTCATGGGCGTAGTGCAAGGTAAGGATGCGGAGGCATGGCGCAGGTTTGACGCCGCTATTCTACAATGGAGCCAAGGAGTGCGTGAGGAAATCACGCTCGAGTGGCTGAAGCAGAAGAACCAGGCGAGGACACCTACACTACAGATCGACCCAAACTATGAGGCGCTGTGAAGTGGCCAGATGATGGTAAATGCAAGGGCTGGTTCGCCAATTTCTTTCGCTGTTTATGTTTTTTTTTTTTTTTTTTGCAAAGTATCATCCTTTTGTAATTTGCACGATGATTACGTCTTCAGACTCTCAACTCCTTCTCGGCAGAAGTCTTAGTAGTGTAGTTTACCCTTTTTATTTCTTTTGTCTTTTCGGGAGAAAGGCCTGGATGGAAGCTGGGCTCCCCTTCGTATCATTCGGCTCAGAGGGCGCTGGATGGCTGGCGACTTGAGATAGATACCCCCTTTTTGGATCAGCGGCTTGCAGTCACAGATGTTGTATGAAATGGAGTCTCGTTGAGAATGAAAGGTGGTGCAAGGGTGTGTGCGTGAGAGAAAGAGTGTGCCCATGTACTATGTAATGTCTATGTAGGGTTATACGGAGATGTATCGTTTGATAATAGTATAATTTGGTGTAGTCGTGGGAGGGAGGGAGGGGAATGGAATAGTAGTAGTCATCTGAAAAGGGGTGGCGAGGGGCCGGGCGAAAATGGTCCAGACGTGTCTACAGTGCGTGCTAGATGTGCAGTGTGCTCCTCCACGTGGTTGGAGGGGCGGATTTGTGTACAATGTGTACAATGTGGGTACATGTGAATGTACTCTAGTATACAGGTGGTATATGTGTGCACAAGGCGGGCTTGGGGCGCACAGTGAAGTCATGTGCTCGTATATTCAAAGCATATATAACGACTGCACACGCTCGATGGCCGACCGAGCGTCTCCTTAGCGTTGCAGAGTGGAGGGGCTGGGCGCATTGACAGCATTTCGCGCAGGGGGCTTGCTGGCGGAAATTGAGCATAGCGGCACTCGGTGTCTCAAAGGCGGGACGCTGTGAACTGTCCTGATTGCTGGGGGAACGTGTCGTCCAGGCGTGGCTCATTTGCATACGACGTCTTATCGCGGCGGCGGGAACAGCACAGAGGACAGACACTGAAGCCCATTGCATTCTCGCCCTCTGCTGCAGGCCACCTTAGTGCCTACGTACATACATACCCTTACATACACAGCCATCCATCCATTCATACCCACCAAAAGAAACGCGTGAAGTCGGCTGACGCGACGTCGGAGCCGGCCACCTCGAAGAAACGACTCATCTCCCGGTGCAGCGCATCCGTGCATCCAGCGCACCTCCGGCGTGCGCAGCCCTCGCCCATCGACTGAACGCGACCTGGAGATCTTCTCGAGGTCCAAGCAGAGAAATGCTCGATGAGCCACCCGGATGCGCCGCCTCGAGTGAACGACAACAACAGCCCCGCGACGGCCGTTGACCTGCCAGCGAAGACACTGCCCAATCCATCCGCTGCCCCATCGCCAGCAGCGTCATCGCCCAAACCCCTTCGTCCCACGCCTCCACACCTCGAAAGCACCACCAAACTCGCGCGAAATGTCTCTCCAGGCCTACTGGCGCGCATGAAGTTCCTCAACCAGCCCGCCGACAACCACTCTGCTACCAAGCCCAACGTCGACGTCGGCCGCATCGAGCAGGATCGGCTACGGCGCCTCGACGAGTTCCGCAAAGCCCGCAACCTCGACATCGAGCGCCGGGGCACTGCGTGGACTGCAAGGCCTGGCCAGTCGACACCCACCCTCACGCCCCTCATCCCCCAGTCGACGGGCGGCAGCGTGCCAGCCCTCACCATGGAGCCCGACTTTGAGAGTGACCGCAGTAGTGTCGTCAGCACCAGCGACAAGGTTCTGCCCTCCGAGTCGGATGCCGATGGAGAGCTCGACATGCAAAAGTATCGCTTGCCCGACGTCACCAAGCCCGAAAAAGCACTTGGCCAGACGCTGGTCGCGACTGCCATGACATCGCCCATCACAAGCGCGACAACAACACCCCCAGCAACCACACCTGCAACTGCAATTGCAACCACCACCACCACCACCACCACAACAACATTACAAGACGCACCCATCATCGCCCCGTCACAGCCATCACCACCACCATCCACGGTAGCCGCCCTCCTACCGTCACTGCCCATCCACGCAGAACGCACACTACCCCCAACGCCCCCGCCCAAAGACTCGCCGCCGCTGCACGACTCGCCGCCGCTGCCACCACTACCGCTAGCCGACCCCGACGAAGCTTCCGTCCTCGACGACAACAATGGCATCGATATCGAGTCCTACTTCCAGCGCCGCCACTACCCGCGCGCCGGCTCCATCTACACCCTCTCCAAGGCTAGCTTCACCAACCAGATCCAGCAGCTCACCTCGATGAAGCTGCCACCCACCACCATCGCCTCCGAGATCACTGCCCTGGCCTCGCCAACCCAGGCCGCCCGCGCACTGCACAAGGCAGCCAACGACATTCGTCTGTGGGTCTCCAAGATCAAGGAGGTCCTCAGCGGCCTCGATGCCGACGACGATGTCGAGTGGGCCGCCGCTGCTGGCCGAGAGGGGCTGGCCGAGGTTGACACCGCAATCAGCAAGTTCGAGGGACTTGTTAATGTCTACATCGGTGCTATCGAAGATCTTCAATCACGGTCAGACATTGCACTGCTGCCTACGAGAGACCAAGTCACCCTCGTCAGCCAGATGGAAGACATTGTAATGAGCTGGGGCGATATTAAGCAGACCCTCAAGGGAATCAAGAACCAAGTCGAGATTGCCATGGAGTGGGAAGAGTTGTGGAACAATGTCCTGGGTGAGATTGGCGCCGAAGTCGAAAACCTCAGCCGCTTGGTATTCGAGATGGAGGAGCGCAGACATCGCGTCATCTCAGACTCTGTCGCCGAGGCACCAGAAAAGTTCGACATCAAGGAACTCGAGAACATTGTCGAGGATATCCCGCGAAAGCAAGCCATTCTCAACAGCAAGCGGTTTAGCATGCCCACGCTGTCCATCCTGTCTCCTGTTTCGCCGCTCCCTCAAATCGAGCAAGAAAACTCTAGGCTGCTGGCTCTCTTCGCCAAGCTGCAGCCATTGCGTGCATCGCTCGACTTCCTCCCCATGCGACTCAGTACTTTCCAAATAAGGGCAAAGACCATTTTCCCCTCTGCTTGTGACGAGCTGGACCGCAGGAGGGAGCAGCTCGAGGCCCAGGAGAAGAAGTTGGAGGCCGAAGCAGACGCACTGCGAGAGGAACTGGGCGAAGACAAGTGGGTGCACAGCTTCCGCCAGGCTGGAAGCAAGGCTGTTGCCATGTACGATTCGTGCATGAAGAGCATACAGAGACTACAACAAGCCATTGACGACACTGACGACGAGAAGCTAGCCTCACGCATTGCCACATACAAGGACAAGCGAGACCACTACCCGCCGTCTATGAGGCGCGTCCTCGAGTTGATCGACATTGAGATGAAGCACAGGTCTACCGTCAATGGTGAGATCCTGCGCATTCAGCAGGATGTACGGTCCAAGGTAGAGGATCTCGAGACAGTCACTGGAAACATGGACGCCATCCTGGAAGATTTTACTGCCAGACGCAAGCTTCGTGACTCTGTTTCTACCGTCCTCTCTGCTCGCACCGAAAACTCGTTCGCCCATTCCAACATGGGCACCCCAGGCAGCTCCCCCGCTTCAAGCGTCGTCATGAGCTGCAAGAGTAGTGCCACGAGCTCCGCTGTTCTCCCGTCGGGCAAGAAGCCCCGTCAGCCCACCGCCGCATCATCCAAACCAGTGATGCCCGCGAACCGACGATACTCGAGCATGCCGCAAAGCACAGCTGCTCTTCCTCGCAAGTCCCTGCCCTCATCTCGTTTGGACTTTACACCTTCTCGCGCTACAGCCGGTACATTGGCTAGCCAAGCACGCGTGAAGACTCCCACCGACAAACCGGGACCCAAGCCTCGTTGGAACTCGGATACTCACCTGCGTGATACAATCATTGGACACAACTTCAAGCCGTTGTCTCTGAGCACGCCATCACCATTCCGAAAGGACAAGGACACGCCGAGTGGATCTGCGCGAAGCTCTTCAAGCCGTACGTCCATTCCGGTAAGAAGCCCATTAGGCCGTTCTTCGAATCTGTCGCCTGCCATGTCTGCCAGGTCTACGTCAACCAGCCCTGCCTCGCAGCAGCCGGGACGACTTTTGGCGAGCCCCATGGAGACGCCGGCTACGCCTGGAGATGTCAAACCGGCGCCTCGGTCGACACCAGCGTCTTCTCCCCAGGCGAAGACCACCACGCCTGGGTCAAGCCACCGCGCAACCACTGCAAGACAAGATGGTATGAGTCCTGGTGGTGAGGAGAGCCCTGCGGCCCGTCGCGCGTCCCGGCCTTCCAGTTCGTCAACCAATCATCGCAGCGGTATGTTTGGCTTAAAGCAACGACCTTCGTCGGCCCCGAAGCCCACAGAAACCAGCCCTGCTTCAACCTCTGGGCGTACGATCAGCAGGCTCGGCAATATGAGTGGAGGAAGGGCCAGCAGAGCCGGTGAAGCACGCACCGATAGCCGTATTAGCGGGCGCCAGTCAAGCCAAGGACAAAACAAACCTGTCTGGAGGTAGGCGCTCACAAAGCGGACAATTTTCTGCCGGTAACTCCGACCTTGAAGTGAACGACTCCCCTATTCAGTCTTCTTTCGAGCAAACGACGGCATTCTCATGTCGATCAATGTCGCATTGACAGCTTTTTGTTCCCCAACACTTCATTTCACCTCCGGATCCTGGCTTGATTCGCACCACCCCTATTCACTAGTACCAATTTTAGCTAACTAGTTACCTTTTTATCGTTTTTGCGCCTTTTCCTGTTACGGTGTTCAGGAGCGGCTCCCCCCTTTTTTATTTCCGATGTATGGCATCGACCATCGATCTCAACTCTGGAAATCATCATTTGAGTGATTTTTCCTCACTTGGGCGTTTTTGGAGGTTGGGAGAAAGTATCCTATATCCCGGAGTTTTTGTATTTTTTTTAAACACTGTTTGCTTGTTTGCTTTGCGCCCCCCCCCTCTTACTTCTTCCAATAACAGCCCGTACGGCATGTTCAGAATGCGGCGATACCCCCCCCCCCTCATGTCAAGCTTTAGTGCTTTTTCTTTTTTGAAAGCGTTGTAGTTTGTTGTTGTCAAGCATGGCGGACATTGTATATGCAGACCAGATTGGTATTGTAGGGTTTCGATGAGCGTAGCACAGGAAATGAAGGAAGGGAAGCATTGTTTGGTGGAATGGTGAACATCGGGGGTTGAAGCAAACTTCACACCATGTGTATAAGTTGGAAGTTTGCCATTTGAGTAGTAACGTGTATATCCCACGCGTGGCAGAACACACCAGCTGTAATGGACACAAATACAAGGTACTTAGACTTTGCATCCTTAGACAACTTCTGAATATATATATCTATAAGTACCTAATACAAAAAACTACTACCATGTGACAACTTGCGAAATATGAATCAATCTCTCAGTGCTAGGATGAGAATCAATTCCCATGCCAGAAAGCTTGGGAGATACTTTACTCTACCAAGGGAATGGATACATGACAGTGATTGGGGTCACAACAGTACTCTTCACTTCATGGTTTATTTATTATACATGCTATGCTCAGCGCTCCATCGCTGCCGAACATCATCGAAGTGAATCATACTGTCAAGTTGACGTACTGCCGTGGATATCAGTAGTAGTGTAACAATGATTGGACAGGGAATTATACGAATATCTTGTTGTAAAGAGCACTCTACTGCGCTTGGTAAGCCTGCTGATCGCCAAAGGCTTCAAAATGATGATAGCAAATGTTTCAAATGTGGAAAAAAGATGCGGGCATTGCCAGTATCTGACCCCGCAGTTTTAGACCATTGACCTCAAGGACGTTTGCACGTCTCGGGAAGAAAGTAGTGTCGGGATGGTCGTCGGCTTAGGAACCCCAACCGTACCTCGCATGCCGAAAGACCCACTCCAGCTCCTCAAGGCTCCAACGCTAGCTAGTGGCTCACCCCCTAACGCGGTAGTAAGGCTTGTACGGAAGATGTCCCAAATTGCCCACCAAAATTCGTCGCTCTTGCGAGCTTCGAAAAATCTTGCTCTCACTCCTAGTTTCGCTCATATCTACAAAAATAGATATCAAGGGGTTACAGTATGTCGTGGCAAAAGCTCACCTGCCCACTAAGCTCTTATTGCTAAAGCATGGATGACTGAAGGTGAAGGAGCTTGAAGAAGGGCCACACCTGAGCGGGCCAATACTCGTGAAGATAGAAAGAAGGTTTCGGCACATCATATATCCGAACATGTAGATAAAAGTTACGTTTGAGCCCGGCCGCAGCTCGACAGACAATTCATTGCTTTTGTCCGCTGAATTACTTTATTCAAGTTTGAATATACTCCTTCTACACAATTCTATTGGATGTCTATGCCCCAAAATAAGTGTTGTACTGGCCGACCACTTCGCCCACGCAAGGAAACCAAGTACCCCGCAAACTTGGACCCTACTACCAACATCATACTCGAATTGCATTTTCTTTGCGGTGGTACAAATATCAGTTTGCCTCATGGCGCCCGGTCTCCTCGCAGAATCTGGTCAATCGGCAACGAGCACTCCTAAACCATCACCAGCGCCAAGCACGATTCCAGCGACTTTATCGAACTATGAGAATAATTCGGCACTGCTACACCGATCCTTGAACGAACATCCACACGAAGTCACATATGCCTCTGGATGCTATCTGACCCTGTCCAATGGGCGCAAGATTCTCGATGCTTGTGGCGGTGCCGCTGTAGCGGTTTTGGGGCATGGAAATCAAGAGGTGACGGCAGCTACGGTGGCACAAATGAACAAGGTGTCATATGTTCATACCGGCTTCTACACAACCAGCTCAGCCGAGGACCTGGCCGAGTGTATCCTATCCGAATCCATGAATCATGGGCTGGAGAAGGCATACTTTGTTGGCAGCGGCAGCGAGGCCAATGAGGCAGCCATGAAGCTCGCGCGACAGTACTTCTGGGAGCAAGGACAGACACAGCGAACGCATTTTGTGAGTAGGCGATTGGGGTACCATGGAAACACCATCGCATCGATGTCGCTATCTACGAATATTTCACGGAAGGTGCCTTATGACGGCGCAATCACATTGCCGAATGTATCCTATGTCTCACCAGCATATCCATATCGCTCTCCGCTTCAGGATGAGTCAGACGAAGCTTACGTTGCCTATCTCGTAGAAGATCTCGATGCCGAGTTCCAGCGCATCGGACCTCACAACGTGATTGCATTCTTCGCCGAGACAGTTGTGGGTGCTACTTCGGGCTGCGTCGCTCCGCCCCATGGCTACTTCGCTGCTGTACAAAAACTGTGCGATTCGTACGGCATACTCGTCATTCTCGACGAGGTCATGTGCGGAATGGGTCGGACGGGGACGTACTTTGCCTTTGAACAGGAAAACATCCAGCCTGATATTGTGACGATTGGCAAAGGGCTCGGCGGCGGCTTCGCACCCATTGCTGGGGTGTTGATTGGCAAAAAGGTGGTGGATGTGCTGAGGCGGGGCACCGCGTCTTTCAATCATGGTCATACGTATCAGGCACATCCTGTATCTTGCGCAACGGCTCTCGCCGTACAACAGATCATCCAGCGGGATCAACTAGTTCGACGATGCGCTGAGATGGGTGTATTGCTAGACAGTCTGTTACGTCACGCCTTTCAGGGTTGCAGATTCGTGGGTGACATACGAGGACGAGGGTTGTTCTATGCTGTGGAATTCGTCGCGGAGAGGAGTAGCAAGACGCGATTACGACCTAGCTTGAGGTTTGCTTCGAGAGTACAGTGTCTTGCTTTTGAGAAAGGAGTCGCAATCTATCCAGGCCCGACCAACTCAGCAGGAACCGAGAGTGATCACATTCTCCTTGCGCCACCGTACAACATCAGTGTTGATGAGCTCGAAAAAGTGGTCAAGGCCTTGAAGGAAGCATACTGCGAAGTCGAACAGGAGGTGGAGCTACTATACCTACAAGAGAAATCTGTGGCACTAAAGCTATAGATGAGACGTGTCTTCAACCTATATCATTGGGAACTCCTATACGCTTCCCCCCATCTAAAACATGCATGAGTTTTTTTTCTTCGTTCACCTCCCAGCTCAATTCCATATATTAGTTTTCCTTTATTCAGGATTTATGTACGGTACTAGCCATGTAAGCAATGAGTATATCAAATGCGATATTCGTGCTATATTACACTGTAGGTAATATCTGCATCTCGTAATCTCAACCCCTGCATTAAAAAAATCATCTTCGCAAACAGCAAAATGAACGGAGTCTGATCGGTAAACCAGGGCGTCGCCGTGCCTATAGGCGGTCGCGTTAGACTCCGGGATGTTCGGAATGTCCGACTCCACCATTGATCCCGACATTCCGAGGCTAGGGATACTGACTGAACTATCCAATAGTGTCATTCTCTTCAGTTTGACACACTACCTTAGTCCAGTCTTCTTCGCATTGACAGACCTTGTGGGGGAAAACTAGTCGCGAAGAAGTGCCGGGCCGAAGCTCGTTACCTATGGTTGGGATACTAGTAGTAGTAGGGCAAAGGCGGTCGCAACTTGGTGTGACGACTCTCAATAGCCTGATTGCATGGAGATTGTGAATTCTCACGTTACTTGGCGCGTTTTTTTTTTACCTTTTATATACTTTGAGCTGCGTACTCTGGATTCTTGCGACGAATTGATTACTACTAACATTGAGTGTTGGTGTAGAAGAGGAATTGTCGTTTGCCAAGCTCCGACCTGTACGTTCAATGGCACTATTGAGATATGATCAAACGAGAAAAGTCGAAAGCGCTCTTCTTGAGGCTCGCAAGCGATATGTTGCCGCTAATCCCATATCCTCCTCTTTGCACCAAAAAGCCCTGGAACACCTTCCTGGAGGCAATTCGAGGACCGTCTTGTATTCGGCGCCGTTCCCCCTGAGTATGGTGTCTGGACAGGACTCGTTCCTTATAGATGAAGATGGGCACAAGTAAAAGACTCCCGTCTATGACACATGGGTTTACGGTCTAACTGGTCGTTTAGATATACCGATCTAGTTGGCGAATTCTCCGCTGGTCTTTATGGACATTCAGAACCCCTCATCCAAGATGCTATCCGAGCGACACTTACAGATACTGGATTGAATTTGGGTGCACATACACGACACGAAGTCGAGTATGCCTCCCTACTGTGCTCTAGATTCAATTTAGAAAATGTCCGGTTTTGCAACTCTGGGACCGAAGCGAACATCCACGCCTTAATGCTGGCCCGGGCATTTACGAAGAAACGGAGATTCGTCGTCTTCACGGGTGGATATCATGGCGGGGTTTTGTGTTTCCGAGAAAAACCAGCGATGAATACGATCAATGATATGGATTTCCTGGTCGCTGAGTATAATAACATTGAAACTGCGACTAGTGTTATTGAAAGTAATTCAGATATCGCTGCAGTAATCGTTGAAGGTATGCAAGGTGCATCTGGTAATATTCTCGGCGGCGAAGCCTTCTTGTATGCCATACAGGCCTCAGCTCGCAAGGTAAGTACTCCTTCCATTACCTAGAAGCTTAGGGCAGTGATTAACGTATGTTCGAAATTCCAGGTCGGCGCTGTTTTTATTCTTGACGAAGTATTGACTTCTCGACTCGCTCCTGGGGGCCTCCAAAGCATACTGTCACTCAAACCCGATATAACGACTCTTGGGAAGTATCTTGGAGGTGGCCTAGCTTTTGGGGCTCTCGGCGGTAGAAGAGAGATCATGAGTGCGTTTGACCCCCGAAGTCCAACAGCGCTACCCCATTCGGGCACGTTTAATAACAACACATTGGTAATGCGAGCTGGGTTTACGGGTCTTTCCCGTGTTTACACACCGGAAAAGGCGGTTGCTTTCAATCAAAACGGGGAAACTCTGCTGAGACGCCTCCAGGAGCTCTGCAAAGGCACGCAGTGTGTTTGGACAGGACGCGGTTCGCTTCTCGCTGTGCATTTCCTGCCGACAGGGTGCACCAACATTAGATCAATTGCCGACCTTGAAGAAAATGAGGGATTGAAAGAACTGTTTTGGTTGGAGATGATGGAATGCGGATTTTGGACCGCACGACGAGGATCCATAGCTATCATGCTGTGTACACCTCAGTCCGAACTCGACCGGTTCTATAGATCTGTGGAGCAGTTTTTGGCACGATATTCGGAGATTTTAGTCTTGGACAATACGCCGTCAAAAACATGACAGAGTACTTAGTAATAATTAAGATTGCCGCTGCATCATCGCAGACTTATGCTTCAAGATAATCAATCCGATGAACTGTAATCGTTATTGCGCGGTCTTTTAAACTTCGCTTTGCCCGCACCTCCGGCGACCCTTCCAGGATATCAGTAGTACGTAATCTGGTCTGGACCCACACACTAGAGAATACTGTCCGTGCGCACCCAATGCAACACTTCAGCCAATGCAACACCCCACCAAAATGCGAGCTTACTAAAAAATAAAGCTTTTAACTACCACTAAAACGCTATTATTACGAGATTTTTTAGTAGAGTACTAGTATAATTATATATTTAATATATATCTACTAATATTTACTTAGTAACCACACACTACGGCCGCGGGTAGTAGTTTTAGTGATAGGCTTAGCAGGTGGTGACGTATCACCACTACTACTTTTAACCTCTATAATATAACGCCGCTTTAATATTTTTATATTCTAATTTAATAAAGCTTTTTATTTAGTAGTATTTTACTTATTATAAGCTTTTTATATAGTTATAGTAGCGTAGTCTAATACTTTTTTAGCGTATATAATAGTTAGTTATATAGCTCTTATAGCTTACTCTCTCTACTATACTATTCTTAATATTTAGTAAGTCTTCTATATCTCTACTATTATTAGTTTTTTATAAATAGCTATAGTAGCTTATTTCTCTCTTTAGTAGTTTTTTTAGAGTTTTTTTTATACTCTTCTTATTATTCTATAGCCTTATAAGTTTTAGCCTCTCTTACTAATTATA